ACATTGTGTTAATCAATTTAACACACGCATTTTTACGGAATAAGCTCCTTCAACCTTTTAATATCAATAAATAATACACATTATTGAAAGCGGAATTTAAAGTGACATTTTAGCTTATTTGCATTGTTACCACTATTTTAAAATGTTTGTTTGCAAGAGAATAATCTCGAATACAGTTTTCTTTCATTTGACATTTCTATTATATTGTACAAAATACAGAAAACAGAACCTTAAAAACAACACTTCGCATAAATAATTATAGAAATAACTTTTCTTCGACATCGGAGTTCAAATAGTATTATTCTAAATTCTTTCAATAGAAAAAAGACTGTTATTATTTGAGAAATTCTCGAGAAGTCTACTCAGAATTTTGTGTAGAGGAATTTTCAAAACAGACTCTTGAAGAATACGTCGAATTTGAATAAAACATTTTCTTGAATTTCATAAACAAATTTCGAGTGCCAAGGATGTGAGAATATTTTATAGAAATGTTGTTGGACGAACATCTGGTGCTGAATACGATATGCAACATTCTACTGAATTGTATTGACAAAGTCCTTTTCAAATAAAAAGATATTCGCTCCATGCACAAATTCTTTCGATACCATCATCTAAAAATATGAAAAAACAAAAGCTTACTCGTAATTAGATAAAGATTTTAATGTTGACTTGTCCACAATTAGCCAACGTTACCAAAATTATTCACTAAATAATTCGCATAAGTTAAGAAGCTTACATGTTCTTCCAAACTGTGCTCTACATCTATGCCAAATTTCAAAGATATGCATTTATCCCTTTAGGAGATACCTTCAAACATACGTCCATCTAAAAACAAACTATCGCATTTATAATATTAGTTAAAAGTATCTACTTACTTAAAGATTATCTACTTACTTCCTCCACAGATTATAACAAATATTGAACTTAACAAATAAAGTAGCCTTTTCTACGTATTATGTAATACTATCTGTCGCCCGCGACTCCGGCCACATAAAAAAACAAAAGAAAGTAGCCTATGTGTTCTTCCAGACTATCCTCTACATCTATACCATATTTCATCGAAATCCGTTCAACCGTTTTGGCTACAAACTATAACAATCATCCATCCATCCATCCATCTAAACTTTCGCATTTATAATATTAGTATGATTTTAGATCCGGAAAAACACAGCTGTCTTGGCATAACGTCAAAAACAAAGGCTCCAAAAGAGGTTGTCAAATTCGTGGTCAATATACGCTGAGAGAGGAAGGCTTAGGAAACTTTTTGTCTTGTTTCTGTGTCGACAGGTTTCTTTTGTTTCAGAAAGATACGAAAAACTATACGTCTCTGGTGTACGAAAGACGAATGGCACCGTCCGCGCTGCAAGTTTTACGTTTTACCTTTTTTTATGTTTTCATTCCACTGTTATTATTCTTTGTAGATAAAAAGAAGTAATAATTTATACTAATTACTATATCATTTAACGCTCAACCTTAAACAATAATCAATCAACTCTACTGTTTTAACTACAATACTTAACTAAAAGTTTTAATATTTGTACGAGTACAATAGTCGGTTAAATAGTTAGCAGGAAAATTTCAACAGAAAGGTGATTAAATTAAAAAAAGAGAGCCTTAAATTTTTTTTTCAAAAACTCAAACAGAAAAGTAGAGTAAAGGACTTGTGCAGACTCGTCATAAGTCCTAAAACACAGTTTTTCTTATTCTCACGTACGTTCGGAACTTCTAATCTCCTTGTCTTCCTTTGCAGCACGTCTATACATAAGAGATTTTACTTTCTTAATGTTTTATAATATAAATACAGTATGAGCAAAAAACATCAACTTCTGTTCAAAGATACATGTATTCTCCAACAGTTTGTAATAGGTAAAGTTCACAAGAACTTAGATTTGAAAACGTAAAGTATCGTACGTGGTCTAATATTGAGAATGTTTATTACTTACTAGCTTTCTAGGGTAAAAAAAACAAAAGTGAGTAGCCTATGTGACCTTCAAGACTATTCTCTACTTTTATAACAAATTTCATCAAAATCCGTTGAGCTGTTTAGGCTAAAAACTCTAAAAAACATGCGTCCCTCTAAACTTTTTCATTTACTGTATAATATTAGTATAAAGTATAATAAGGTCGATCAATACCGAATATTTCAAGCGATTGTCCGGCGAACAATTTTAGCTGTGACTGCAAAAGGTTTGTGTACGGCCAATGGCGACGTGAAATATTTGCAGCAGTCTCTACATGGCAACACTAAATGGCAATAACAATTTGCCTTGAATTAATTTGAATCAATTTTGTAGTTTCAACTGCCTTGTTACAGAAGTTACACTTGTAACCACAACGAAAACATTTATTGTCTTTTCAGCTTTTTATCAACTTCACTGTTTTATTACCAATGTTTGAATGAAGGCTTTGAGTCAAAGAGAAGTTGTAGCAACTTCGTCGAAAGATGTCAAGAAATCCTTTGAACATAGAACACTTCGAAATTACAGTAAAATACGACGAAGTTCACTTTGAAGCTATACAAAGTAGCTGGGAAGAGAAATTTCTTATGGAATAATACTAGAGATATGAGCGCGTTTCCAAGATCAATTAAATTATAGAGCAAATTCCTTCTACAATTGCCATGAGTTTCCACTATCGAAACATTTACAAATTATCATTTCTTTGAAAAAACTACAAATAAAAATCGCGACAAAATAAATACTGAGTTACAGAAGTCTTTAGTGGCGCTATGTAATTTATTATTAAAACTGAAAGATTTTAATTTACTTTGCAGGCGACAAGTTAAAACAAATGTAAATAGAATCACAAATTTAATTCCACGTCGGATCGTATTTACTCCGCCGTGTGAAACTATTAGTGTTGAAATTTACTTAAGAGAGTAATTAAGGCAAAGTGCCATTCGCTTTTTGAACGAACATGTGTAGATAAGGCTATGGAGTACTAAATAAATTAGGTAAAACAAATCATAAAGAAAGATTTCAGCTAGTACTCACTAAGGACCTGTCCCACCAAATTGTAAATTTTCTGATAACAATCCAGCGTATAAAATATATGATGGAAATATCGGATTTTGTTACCTTATGACAGTGACGTCATTTTTAAGCTAGTTGAGTATCTATCAGCCAGTGGTAACAGACCAATAAATTACTGTTTTTAAGTTGCTCTACTATACACACTTACTAGTACATTTTACAGAACCATTTTTAAAATAAATGTAAACGAATTACAAACGAAGATTTTTAAGCATCAAGAGTGTTGAAAGGAAATTTATTTGTAAAACAGAAAAATATCTAGTCGAGTAAAGTGAATTAAATACTTTACGCTAATTACCGACTCGATAACTGAAACTTAGCTCTAAATGGGAGCAAAATAAAACCATTTAACGCGGTTCCACTCTCCTCATAGAAGTTAGAGGGTTGAGTAGTAAAAGTCTAACTTTATGCGACTTCCTGCAACAAGGAAATCCAATTAGCAATGCCAGGCTGCAGGAAGCTAACTGGGATAGAGTGGAAACAGGCGCTAGACCAGTTAACGTGCTAAGAATTCAAGTAACATCGGTATTAAGTGCCATAAACTTAGGTTTTAATTAGTTCAAGACATTTAACGTAATTAATACTTAATAAGTTATTTTTTTATCGGAGATTTAATTCATATTTGACTATCAAGATATTGGTGTGTAAAAGAAGTGGTGGATTTTTATAGATTGATGACATATGGTGAATACGATTATCCATGTTAATATACTAATTTGAGGTTATATAGCATATCTATGGTCGATTTTAGCTTTTTTTAGTATTGTTTGTGTGATATACAACTAAAACCGTGTTTTAGACGAAAATGTGTTACACAACATTCATGAAACAGCAGTTTATAAACGCAGAATATAATTGGAATATTCAAATCCAAGCATAGTTTGTACCTTGTGCTAATATTTAGTTTACCAGGCCTTCGAACTGAAACGTTCAGCAATTAACAGACATACGCTGATTGTTCCAGATGTTCATCAGGGCTAATAACATTAGGCTTGTACGCATTTTATTACTAACTCGCTACAATATCAACCCTAAGTATTTTAATTTAGACTTTGAAAATTGGAAATATTTATTTAATAATTTGTTTTAACAATTATTCAATTTGTATAAAATAAATAGAAAACAGTGTATTTATATTCCATACTGTACAGAAACAGATTGTCAACGCCGCGAAGTCTTAGTTTAAATATTAATTAGGTCAGCTTTTATTCTATTTCGCTTTATGTATTCCAGTACAAGTATAATTATGTATTTACATATTTTAATTCAAAAGAGATTCAATCAATTAGTACCTTGTAACACGACCTTTTACGTTTTTTATTTATTATTTACTTAGTAACCATTTTTATGTATCGCTTCTAACTTTTAAAGTTAAATTAACTTTACAACTCGCTTTTTATAAATGCCTAATAAAAAATCCTCGGTTTCTATTTGAATATTTTACTCTCTGCAGAGAATTCGAATATTAAATTTGAATGCTCGATGAAGAAATACAAAAAAAATATCGTGCTATCCGAATTTTTTGTTCCGATTTCTCTTAAACTTTTATATTTTAAACATTTTGCTATTTATAAATGAAACGTTATTTGCCTGAATTTAAAATTAATTTTCTATTATCAATCTTATAGACAATTATTAACAAAGTTGTAACCATAAAAAAATTATAAAAAAATGACCCATTTCCCTCTCAGCTTCTTTGAAATAAAAGAGATAACATGTATTTTTTTACAACATAAAGAGACAAACGAGCAAATGTATTCGCCGAAATAGCGCCTGCCCACAAACATTTGTATTAATTATATAATTAACAACAATAGTAAAACTTATATTAAAATAAATTATATCAAGTTTTCTTAAGTCTTTAAAGTCTTATTAAAAATATTGTTGAGCAAACATTCGCTCTACGAATTAAAATAATCGTTAACACTACAATAAATACTTATAAACATTATTTGCTAAATACATAAGCACATTTTTTACATTCTAACAAAACGTTTCTCTTATTCATTAGCTATTTTCGTCAACTATAGCGAAAGGATGTTCTGCATTCGTCTTGAGGTAATATATCCCGTCTTTCCTGTAACAAAAATAAAATAATAAACTCGAAAATCTATAGAATAAGGAATTTATTTTCATACCTATATTTGAGTCTTATTTGATTACCAAAAAGCCTTGAGTTTAATTAGATGTTTTTTCCTGTTTATAGTAAAGTAAAAGGAAATCTATTATTATATTAATGTTGAAAGGAAACGTAAGTTTTTCTTATTATTTTCAAATGTTATCCAGAAGCGATAAACCTGATGTTCGTAATAACAAAAATACGTAAAAATACCCGCATTTGCAATACTAGTGAAATTTTGTTTCCAATAAACAATGCAACCAAAACTGATGACTGAAAAGTAAAATTTTTTAATGGCTAACTTTCGCCTGTGACTCCGTACTCGTGAAATATAAAAAGCAATAGTAAGTAGCCTATGTGTTCTTCAACTATGCTCTACATCTATGCCATTAAATCCAGATCCGTTCAAACGTTTAGATTACAAACATCTATCCACCTAAACTTTCGCATTTATATTAGTAAGTTTATACTAAATGTAAGTCACCCGTAATGTATGTCAAAGCCGCCCATGATGAGCGTCTCGCCGGTCCCCTTACACGAGCCGCTGTAGTACAGCTCGTCGTAGTCCTTGCAGCGCACCGCCGTGAACGGCACCGACGATATGATGGATTCAGAGAAGAACATGTGTGCCCGGTTATGTGCACAGAGACCTATAAATTGAATTATAATATACTAGCTTTCACCCGCGACTCCGACCGCCGGAAATTAAAACAAAAGTAAAGAGCCTATGAGTCCTTACAGACTATTCTCTACATGTATGCGATCCATAGAGATCCTTCCAGCAATTTAGGCTACAAACACTAACAAACATCCAGCCATCTTTCGCATTTATATTATAGTGAGGTTTTTAAATAATTTTGTATAAGTAAAATCAAGTGTTTGATTCGTTGCGGTTGATGGTAAAGTGCTTGTTTATTTTTACCTCTATAATCGAATGTGCATCCTGGCTGTCGAGTGCCGCCATTAGGATAGAAGTCAATATGTCCGAGCGGCGAGGCAAAGCCAAGGTATCCTCCGCACGTGTGTATCACCTCCACATGACGCGCGTCATGCTTGTCAAGACGCGCGTCCTTGTTACCCAATGTGAACAAAGGGAGTGCGGGATCCAAACCTAGGGTTATCAAATGGTTAATAGTCAATTAATGTTTTTTTTAGCAAACAGTCGAAATTATACATAGTATTTTGATAATAATCAAAATTCCAATTTGCGAATAACAAAGGCTAAAGCACCACATAATACGTAACAATCAAAGCTGACGTTACCGTGTGACAAGACCATTCGATCGTTCATGTCAATCATGTATCACGTAATAGGTCTGTCGGCGTTTGACTGAAACATGCGTCGACGTTATTTTGTAGAAAAAAAGAATTTCATGTTTCTACGTATTCATATACCCCTAGCAGTTGCTTGACTTCGTCCGTATAAAATGAAAAAAGTAATAAAAATGCAATCTAAGATACTCACAGATAAATTACCTTTCTAACGGTGAAAGATTTTTAATCAGTCCAGTAGTTTTTGAGTTATTTCAATACATACAAAAATACAAATCTTTCCAATTTATAATATTAGGATAGATGACGATGTTTAAAATGTTCAATTGATTGTTCACAAATTAAATTGTAAAGTGGTTTAGGTGATGCAACACAAAGACGTTCCACAATATTACCTCCAATCTGATTACGTTAGATGATTACGTTATTGATAAAAATGTGATAAAACATTTAATTACACAAGTTACCTGTGATTGTATCAATAGGTCCTTGCTTCACATACGCTCCAGCTATACCGACCACGTGTGCGCCAAGACTGTGCCCGATTAAGTGAACATCGTCCATAGACACTCCCTCCGATATAAGAAAGTTGAGGAATTCAGTCAACAGTCTTCCTACCATAGCGACGTTGTAACTGGCCAGTATGTAGTTGACATTTGCTGCGTTCCCCCAATCAACTACTATTATGTTCAAATCACTGATGTTCAAATAAGCTGCAAAGAAGCACGGAAATTAAAATTACCAAAAGAGAATTAAATACTTCATATGCACTACATGAAAATTCTTAATCCAAAATCTTAAGAATATCTTTTAAATTTCGATTTTGTTGAATAATCCTAATAAACCTTTTCATCTTTGTCGCTTCCATAACATTGAATAAAGCAAGACATCACATTTATTCCATCCATCAATTCTCTGCCGTTAAATACAAATTATAATAGAATTGTAGGTATATTCACCTTCTTTAATTGATTCCGGCATAGGACTTGAGCCATGGTTGAGCCATCCATGAGTGAGTACCTTTACCTTGTTTTTGAAATTAAAATTAGAATTACGTAATGACGCGGTGTCGTTTATTTTCAAATCTTGTCCATCGTAAGGATTACGCCTGGAAATTGTAGAAAAGAATAAGATTACAACTGTACTTAAACGATAAAGGTCAAATTTTATAATTCACTAAAGAAGCTATAAACAGAGAAACTCTTTTCTGTTTACATTTTACAAAACAAATATGAGAAAAATGGAATGTATTGACAAAAGAAAAACATAGCTTACGTGTTTAATTTTTTTACAGACGTTTGTCCCAAATAATTTCTATATAATTTATTAATATTACCTTGTAAATAATTTGAATTGTACATCCTGTTCGTATACCCAACCCCAGAACCAGAGCCTGGTTTCGTTGATATTGCCAGCAGGCGGAAAGGTTTGCACGCTAGCTAGCCATACCGGGTCGTACGGTGTTGGCGCATCCCATTCAATGCCTGAAACTAAAGAAAATCATAGTTAAAAATAGGGAAGGTCCTCATAATGATTTCTGACATTCAAGAGAACATGACACTAAGAAATTCCTTCCAAAAATGTTTTATAATCAACATCAATCTATAAGGCGTCAATAACTTAAAGTCGTTATAAATTCAGTGTACCAATATTGTTTACTAATAAGACGGCGTGGATTTAAATCTGACATTATGTACAATGGATGCTAATGCTACTAATAAAAACCATAGTACAGCTATTTAATTATGGACATGTAAAGCTGACTGTACTTGTTTACCTGTAGAGTGAAAGAAAACATGCCATTGTTTTACCTACTGTTATTAATCAAAATATTTAAAAGCCGTAGAAATGAACACGGTACAAAACGTGTGTTATAAAAGAATTTAATTGTTTTGCCTTTACCAGTGCAATATTAAGGTACGATACAAAACTATAAACTATAACGACGGTTGACACATCGGTGGGCTTGTTGCTAAGCGTAATAGATGACTCGGTAGAGTTTCGCCCTCCACGAAGTAAGGGAAATTCTAAGCATGCGCGGCGACATCGCTCTTGCAATAATAATGACTAAGGTCGTAAAAAATGGATGTCCATAACTTCCGAGACGTCATCGTGGATAACGCAACCAAGCGACCCTATCATTTTTCCCACCTTATTATTTAGTTTTACCATATTCATAGTGGGAAAAGGAAATAAAACCTATAGCATTGAAATTTGAGACTGTGTTTTATTTTAGTTACGGAATAAATTTTAAATTGATAACATTTTAGCGGTTATTATTAGCAATAAATATGTGCGAAAATGTCTCGATATTTACTCTACAAATTTTAGATAACAAAGCTCATAAATAAATTCCCAAAAAAAGTTGCAACCGAATACTATGTAATAAAAAAACCTAAGTATTTCTTAGGTACATAAATGTACATATTTTTTTGAGTTCAATTAATTAATTCATTAAAGTGTCATATTATTTTCGGACACTATTGTGTAATAAATTCTTTATTTGTTATCATGAAAAATCTGTTCCACGACAAGGAAATGTGTACAAAAAAATCAGATTGTTGCGCAATGTGTGCGTGCCGGAAACATAAAAATAAATGACCTACGTGCGATAAAAAGCATGAGGTGCACTTCTATGGATAACCTTAAGATAACTCCGTGAGAAAACATTTGGTATTAACTCACGTCCACATCTAAAACAGCTTTACAATTAACTGACACTGCCAAAATATCTGAACGCAACAAATTGATCCTGTTTTTTTAAGTAAACAAAAAGGGATTATAATAATGTATAAATGTTTCGCCAATGTAAACCCACCTTAACAAGAATACATTTCTACGTTTGCAAAAAAGATCCACCTCTAGACTCTATTCATATTATTTACTTGTGTATTAGCACTTACTTTGACCAACATTTACTTAAAATTTCCCTTAACATTAACTTGTTACAAAGTAATGGTTTATGTTAATGCATTTTCGTATACTTGTTAAAACAAATAGATGTTAACTTAGAAAAAACCTGTTGTGAAATCTTTTATGTATTTAACACTTACATTGTTTTAAAATAACTGTTGTGTTAAATATTCACATCTCAGAATAATGAGTCGTTGTTTTTACATAAGTAGGTATCGAGTTAATCATGTTCATTAACAATATACATTTTTTTTATATATAAACTAGCTGTTCCCGTGCGGCTTCATCCGCATGAAATTATGAAAATTTTGTTTTATTGTTTACATTTGTCAAATTATCAATAGCAAATGTCAAAATGACATGACATGACAAACCTTGGCAATCTTGCTTCCTTGATGTTGGCAGCAACTTATGGTCTCTTTCCCACATTAAGATTTTCATCCAAAATGTTTACCCCCTAAGTTTAATGGCGTGAAAATATATAGCATAAAGCCTGACGTCAATGTAGGGCTTTTTATTAAAAAAAGAATTATTCTAAAATATGCTGTAATTGCTGACATTAGGCAACAAAGTGTGTGTTTACGCTTTATTATAATAGTATAGACATGTATTGACGGTATAGCAAAGATCGTATTTCTCATTTGTAATTAAACACGCGCTAATTACGAAACGAGATGACATAACAACATAGTTGGTCAAATAAACAGAAATACAAATATTGTATAACTAGCTTTCACCCACGACTGGGTCTGCGTGGTATTAAAAAAAAACAAAACCAAGTTGCCTGTGTGTTCTTTCAGAATATCCTCAACATGTATGCCAAATTGCATTGAAATCCGTTTAGCAGATTAGACTACAAACTCTAACAAACATTCATCCATCCACCTAAACCTTCACATTTATAATATTAGTATTAGTATGATTTAACAGATATTCCATAATAGAAAATTTTACGTCTTAATTATTTATTTAACCGTATTACTTATTTAACCGTGACCATGATGAAGATACAAGTGTCGTATTCTATCAATGAGATGCATTAGCAATGAGATCGAAAAAAGGTTAACGTGCTTGAACGCACGTGATATACTCGAATACAATATACTCAAAGCGGAACTACAATGTTTATTGTATAATGAGCCCGGCTTCGAACACAAACTAGGAGTCAATCATATAATTCATTGGAAGTCGCAAATTTTAGCAAAGTAGCTATCATACTCAGCATAGTTACAAAATTAAGGTTATCTTAGTGTGAATGTAATATGAGAAATCTACACTAAAGCACAGGACAAGTAACCAAATGAATCCAATAGTGAAAGTAGATTAATTAAAAGAAAAGAGCATACTTCTTACTTGAGACCCGATAACATTTGTCTGAAGTTCTTTTACCGACAATGATCATGACCTTAGCAACGAAACCATTGACGGCGTACACGACTAGTGACGTCTAGAAAAGTAAAGTTCTGATTTTCCCTGTTTTGATGAGAATATTTGAATTTTGTTTGTAATATCGAAGTGAGCGTGTGTCTAATTTCATTTAATTTTACTTAACGTGTACTTCAATATTGTACATGAATATGAACTCAACGCCATCTGTGTTTATAAAACAGAAAGTGGACAAAAAAAATTATTATACTCTTTTTCCTTTTACAATTTGCTGCCAGCATTAAAGATGTACATAACTGATAAAGTGAATGAACACCTAAATTTCGATATTATGTCAATTTTATTGAAAAGATGCATTCCATAGATATGTTAATGTTGCTCTTTCTATACGCAAATGAGAACTGAGAGCTGAGCGAAAAGTTTCATATGATGTGTATAACATTATAATTCACACTTGAACGAGTCTTATGCCTTTAAAGGACCGCCGAGATTCATATCTTTAAATTAACATTCAAAGAAAGTTACTAGCGAACATCTCTATTCTGTATACGGCAGTTCATAGAAAAGGGTCCTTAAAAACAGGACGACCATATCAACAAAAAAAAGAAATTAGAAACTGAAGCGGGTTTTTATATATAAAAATATATTTTTGCTTCGATGTCAGTGATCAGGTAAATTTCAAACACTTTTTAATTTTTAACAACAATTATTTTTTGTATAAATTAGTAGCTTTGACAAGAGATAAAAAAACACAAAAGGTATTCCTTAAAATCCAGCCCAAACTTAGCTTGGGTCTCCTCCCTGCTTGCTGTGTGATTTATAAATCGCAATAATTACAAATTACATTTCATTTGCGAATACAGATTTCATGTTTGTTTGAATCTTAATTTTAACAAGGGATACATATTATCTGATATTTTTTTAAGATTTATAATATTACTAAAATATTACAAAACACCCCTAATATCTTGAGTTACACAAACCTGAAGAAACAAGAAGCAAAAGCAAAATCATCACAAAGTTTGTCTTCAAACACGAAAACTAAAATTCACTGAGTATAAACAAACTTGTAGGCACTTGGAAAAGTTTAAAATTCTCATTTTGATACAACTTCGAGTTGGTGTACCGTCACTGAGGACTTGAACATTTTCACTGACGACAGCCAGCGATAGAATTTAAATTTGTGTAGCGGTATATTGGGGAGCATTGTAATTCATTGTATGTGCTTACGCTACATCCATCGATCATATTAATCAGACAGTTTCCTATTGCTTTTAATTTATTTAGACAAAGCTATTTTAGAGAGTCTTTGTGAATAATTATTTACGATTAATTCTCTCATAATTATGTGATGTCTCTATTCTAAGAAATATAAGACTACCAAACTAGTTCATGATAACTGATCAAAATCAAGATGCGCAAAATTACTTGTGAGATTTTTAATTTTAACTTAATACGGAATTATTATTCGAACAAGGCAATTTTTATAACAGTTCTTTTTAAGCTTAGAGTGCGTGCGCTATGAGCATTTTGCCGCCCTCGCCTAACGTTGGTATTTCGAAAACTATTGTAATTGCCTTGTTGAATCAAGACTTTATTTACTGTTTAATTTTATGCAAAAAAATAAAAATCGAGTTGCTGAGTTGGGCTAATGTTTTAAATTTTAGGTTCAAACTTCTTTTTTTGGTTATTTCAGTCTAGATTTTGGGCCATCGAGAAAACTATTTCGCAATACTGCACCAGTAAAGAGAAAACAACAGAAAATTACCATTACATTACCAACACTGTTCTGTATTAATAGAAAGGATTAACAGGATAGGGTATTGATTGGAAATGACAGCCTGCTTCACTTTATTCCGAATTAAACGTGCTCGTAGAAGTTCCCGGCAATTTAGTCGATTTATATTATTACTTCGAAATCCCACCACCACCATCAGAGCCAAAATGGTAAAAATAAAATGGACACAAATTACCAGATTATAGCATATCCATTTATATAGGTGAATGATTACTGTTTTACTGTCAAACTTTGACTTGACAGTGTCAGTGACACTTAGCATATAAAACATATTGGTGTCATGTTAATAATTCATTTCGTTTTCATAAACCAATAGTAATAAAAGGACAAATAAAAGCTTTTAGTCCAAACACGATTTTGCATAAAATCAACTGCGAAGTGAGAAACCATGGCCTTAATAATTGAAAATCAGAAAATCCTTGAATTTCTTGAACTAGTTGGTCGTTTGAAGGTCTGTAGTTTTACAACAATTGTAAAATTATTTTCATAACTGAACTTTCATTATTTGTTAAATCTAATTTATGAAATTGTTACTATATTTTTTTAGCACGTAAAACGAACAGGCTGGGTGCTCTGCAATATTGACGATTGCGAATCGATCGCTGGTCACATGTATCGTATGGGCTTAATGACCTTTTTGCTCACAGAAGAAAACAATCCAACAAAATTAGACCGCTTTAGATGCCTACAAATAGGTAAGCTTTTGTGTAATAAAAAAATAGTTTAGCTTCTGGTTTTTATGTTAATATGATAATATTAACTGCTTTGTCCATCTGTTCCTGACATCGATTGCTCATATAAAAGCCATACTGTTCTTTTATTATGTTTATCTGTAGATAAAGAATATGATAAGACCATTTTTGCTGACCAAATAATGTGGCCTATCATATGTGTGTTTTAATTATTTAACTTACATATATACATTTTAAATAAAAAAATGTATATTGAGTGCTTTATATGGAACAGATTGTGGTTTTATTTAATACTAGCTTTGGCCGCTATATTGTCAAACTGGAATGAGAAAAAACTAAACAAAAGCAAGTAAACTATGTGTTCTTTAAGATTATCCGGTACATCTTTACCAATTTGCCAAAATGCTACTTTCATCTAGATCCATTCAGCAGTTTAAGCTATAAACTCTATCAAACATCCATCCATCTAAACTTTCCCATGTATAATATTAGTAAGTTTGATTACATGCATAGGTACTTGATTTAATCTGTCAGACTTATAAGTAGAATACATATAGAATTTTGTAAATTAATGTTTGATTACATTAAAAAATATTGTACTCTCATGTTTCCAGCATTAGTTCATGACCTAGCTGAATGCATTGTTGGTGATCTGACACCACACTGTGGAGTATCTCCCGAGGAGAAACATAGAAGAGAAGATGAAGCCATGAAAAAGATTGCTGAGCTCACTGGCATTGCTGGTGACAGGATGTATGACCTATATAAGGTATTTCTATGTATATTGAATATGTTTAGTGTTAAATACTAGACCTATGAGTTCACTTTTACTCACTTATGAGTAATGAAACATGTTACTTTAGATTCAAACATTTGTCTAATTAATAAGTATAAATTCAACCCCTCTGATCAAAAGAGTAACATCTCTTATGACATACTAGCTGTTGTGTGCGACTTCGACCAAGCAATATAAACATTAAAAAAAGGAGCCTATAATATGTCTGTTACCCTGCAGTGAAAGTCTGGTTGAAATCGGTCCAGCTGTTTCGGAGATTACCCGGAACAAACGCGGCTTTCAGACAGACAGAGAAAAAAATTAAATGCGATTTTTGTTATCGGCAACTCACATACCTCATCTTCCCGAAATCTGAATTTTTTTTTTGATATTATAAACAGACACTATTTAAACTTATACAAAATGTTACTTTTATCATCGTACAGGTTCAGTTGTATCATACTTCAAAGATTTTTGTTGATGTAAATACCGATTTGTTATCTAAAAAAAATTGTAATAGAAGAATAATAATATGATGATATGTAATGATGTACTTAAATGACTAGTTAATAAAAAGTCATTGTTCTTATCTAAATTATACTTTTTACACTGATTTCCTAAAACTCTGACATTTTTTATACCATTGTAGAGCGATAACATCAATTTATCTTTAAAACCTTGTCAGTCAAACCTATCCTAAATATTTCTCGGACATTCTGAATGTTGAATATGAATTATTAAAAATATAATTAATATTATACAATTAACTTTTCAGGAATATGAAAACCAAAGTTCTCCTGAAGCCAAATTCGCCAAAGACTTAGACCGCTACGATATGATTCTACAAGCATTTGAATATGAGAAACGAGAAAAAGCACCAAATAAGTTGGAAGAATTTTTCAAGGCTACTGAAGGAAAATTCAACCATCCATTTATAAAAGACTTAGTTACAGAACTGTATAGACAAAGGGAAGAATTTGAGAAGAAATGTCTTCTTAATGGAAATGCTTAATTTAATTGTTTGCAGGCAAATTAAGATCTGAACATAACATTACTATGCCTATTTAAAAATACAGTCTCGCACATTTTGATTATTGGCTTGTATTAGTTGATTTTAAATTGCATTAAGAAGAACAAGGCAAAGGTTGAATTGTCTACTTTTTTGTCTGTTGTTTTATAAATTTACTAGTAATCTATAGGTGGATTTTTTTTTAATTTTCTAATAGTTAAAGTAGTCTTTTTACTTAGTGATAATGTTGCTTCCTAATGGGAAAAGAATTGAATTTGATTCAGTGGTTTTTGAGTTTATTTGTTACACACATAAATACATATTCTTCCTAATATTAGTATAGTTTGGTATTCATCATAATTCAAATTAATATGTTCATAAAAATGTTCTGCTGCACAATTTAGATGATTTTTCTCATATAATGTTCGTAAGCGTAAGATATGGGTTTTTTTCCACGATCGGATTGTTTTAGCTCACGATATTTCAGCACAGTTGCTTGCGTCATATTCTCGGGCTGACTGAAGTGATGCGGTAGGGTGAAAAAAAAAACAAAAAAATGTTACACGAAGCCATATCGATCTACTTTTCCTGTGTTTGTTCCTTACCAGTAAGCAGTGGTCGCTATACCACTGCTAACTGGTAAGAAACATGTAACTTACGAACATTATATTTGAAAAACCACGACAGTTTAGTGATTTTTCTTATGTTATTTTTCATACTTCATCATAGAATATGCGGGTTTCGTTTACATTTCAATGTACGAGTATTAGATAATACCATCTGTATTGCATTGAAAATGCTTTTTTATTTAGTTACCTACTAGCAAGGCTAGAGACAAATTAATTTTTGTATTGTTAAGTTCTGATTGTTTCAATTTTATTTGTTAGCGATAATTATTTTCAAGGAATCTCCTTGGTAATGTTTTTATTTTTTTCACAATGTATATGTTTCAATACATAAGTATAATATTCTATTTTAAGAAGCTATAAGAGGGATAATTTACTCAATGTATATGTGATGGGCCTGAATGGTATAATAAAGTAATGTTCTGTGTGCCACGGACTAGACTAGACTGGACGGTCCCCTAGACTAAAAACCGTAAAAAATAATTGGAAACTACTATAATGCTATACAAATATTTTTAAATGTGTTACTTTCAGGATACAGTTTGGAATGGATTACAAGTGCCATCGATTTTCTTGAACAAATTGTACTATTAGAATACATTAATATGTGTTATTTTATTCTGTGTGTTTGTAAGTGCAATGAATATGCAATAAATATTTCCTATAGTACTCTAAGTCATGTATGCTTTTATTCAAGTTCATTTAAGTATTAAAGTAGTATTATCTATGATTTTGATGTGCCAAAGTTCTTGAATTTATTCAAAAAATGTTCAGACCTATATGACTCCTACTTAATCATATTTTATTTTATTCAGACCTAACCGATGCCTACTCCAGGGGTGTAATTGTAAAGGGTTGCACCACACTGTTTATAATTAAATTCAGAACAAGTATTGTTAGTTTAAAACTATGACCTTGAGTCGCTAAAAAATTAAAACTGTCTATACTATCATATTTGCAATGTTTCTATTCTATATCAGCTAAAATTTAACTCACCATCTGAGATTTTTACAGGTCTATTATCCTAAAGTGAAATAGTGTATAATTATGTGCACTATTTCCTCCCAAATTTATTTAAAAACATTTCTAAACTGAAACAATAACTTAAAAATATTCCTAACACAATTTTTTTGTTATAAAAGTGCATAACATACAACTCATGTAACAAAAACGATCTTTTATTACATACAACTTTGTCGCATGTCGAAACTTAAAAATAGTTCTGATGTCAATTAAAATATTTGTCATTTGTTACTATTGTAGCATTCCATTGTATTTTGTAAATGCTGCTTATTGTATTTTCATTATACTTAATTGTACCTCAAAAAGACGTAAACTAACATTACTTTTTTAATTAGTAAAATGTTTGTAATTAAATATTTCTTTTATTTATCAATATGGCCAACACTGCATTGACTAATAAGTAAAGAATTATTTATAAACAACTAAGTATGTAGTGATTGTAGTTCAAATAGTACTTAAAGAGTGGCACTGGGCATAGTCAGATGTGAAAATATTTGCATTTGATCCAATTTTGGCGTTACAGCTCTGGCAAAAAAGGGACAATGGTATAAACAACTGTATGCATGTCAGGGTGTAACTTGTCTTCCTTTGTATATGTTTAAGTACTAGTTAAAAGAAATTTTAGCAATCCATGTTAGTGGCCTGGAACATTCAATTTCAGTCAAAGTACCATAAAATACAATATCCAGGAAAAACTGGTTATATATCTACATTTGTCATTGGTGTTAAATTGTACATTTAACACTTCAATGTCAAAAAACTAGAAATGTAGACAATATTGAGCAACAATAGCCTTGATGTTATTGCAATGTTGAATACCAAGGCTGTTTTATTATGAATAAAAGTGGTTTAATTATTTTCAAGTCTTTATTATATAAAAATGGATAGTTGGAATAGTATACATACAAATCTATTCAGTCAAATGAAGACTCGTAAATGCTATGTTAATGTTACCTTTAATTACATTTCTTATCACCCCCTCGTAAATCAGATCATATTTCTTCTTTATGTGACTGTTAATACATCTTAGACATACTTTCGCATATTCTAACAAAGAAAACAGATAAATTGATTGGATTATTTATTATAGTTGTTACAGCAGAACCCAAGTTTTTTTTAATGGAAACTTATCTTAATTGATTGCTTCTGTATCACTTGAACAATTTTACTTCTGGTTAACAAACCCAAGTATCCAAAGAATTGTTCATTTAATTCAGCAGTCAAAATTTGTGAATTGGACAAACTTTAATGTACTGATTGCTTTCTAGCGCCTTGGTCCTCTTGTTCTTCTTTTTTTCTTTGTTTCTCTCGCATCAATTCAGCATCTCTGTAAATATATGTTTATTTATATATTAACAAGTGATGCATTAAAGTAACCCAAAACACAATCATTCTCATTACATTTTTTTGTTCAAATATGCAAATACCTGCAGATGTTACAGCAATACAAAAAGTTTGCATAAAGTTCATTTTTAGAAATACACATGGTTGGCACCTAAACTTAGATTATCAATATCAGTTCAAGTGAAATTATAATAACCTATGTTTCCTTTCTGAGAGAGACATTCCTGTTTTCTCACTTGCTGTTTTTTTCTTTTGCGCTTCTTGCTGCTTCTTTTGATTCTTGGCACGAGCCAAATCTCTCTGGTTCCCGCCTGCAATTATTTACATTTTGAATTTACAGTTTAGGTTAGAATGAACTATTATAACCTTGAAATTTATTACTTTAACATGATATTTTGCAACGCATCATATTATAAAGTACATTACCGAATCTTGTTTCTTTACAAAGATTGGAATAAATTTCAGATTTCTTAAATAACAAAATGAACACGGATTTGATATTAACACATTCAAAAACAATTAAATGTTTACATAATGTAGGCGTCACTCTCAAATGTCAATCTTGTCATAGATACTCATTTGCACATCTCTCGAACATTCTATGAACACATTTCATTGTATTGTACTTAAACACCAGAAAAATAAAAAGCAAACTAATATTGTATTTGGTACACTATGATCGTCAACTAAGCAAACGTTTCAGTGAAGGTATTTATTAATAACTTTACTCACGGGTCATTATGGTTTAGGTTCACTGTCACAAAAAGTAAAAACTGAATCGCAATTTAGGATAATGTTTATACAAAAGTCCGGACGATACGCTAGTCCGGCCGAAACCTAGGACAACGCACCGCCCTCCTTGTTGCCAATTTGGAAAGGAACTTTGGAAGCAACTAAAACAGAAGAACTGGCTTAAACAAAGCCACGACCAGCTGGTTGCACCACTTTTGCCATAAACAAGGTAATACCATAGAGTAGAGTGTGAAGGCCCATAGACACACAGATTATACTAAACTATACTACTGTATATTCTTAAAAGAAACTTTCAAATCCTAGTAAACTGGAAAATATTTGAAAAAATAAAATGAACCATCTTTAAACGAAAACTAAAGAGTATTAACTTTTATAAACGAAATAGAAAAAAATACGCAGGGTAAAATCCGTCCATGCTGTCATGTTGCTTCGGTAAACAAACAGTAAATTTTTACTAATAGTTATAATCTCTAAAGACTCAAAATTATTACTGCAGCAGAGCCGAGCAGAGGGAAACTCGAGAATTAATTTAGAAAATAAACCACAAACTGTGTATTAAAAATACAGAACCGACACAACACATTTTATACTCTACAATTCAGTTGACTGAAAGACTGAAATGAACTGAAAGAAAGACTGAAATAGACTGAAGATTTAACTTTGATTTAACTTGATAGAGAGCGCCAGTTGAGCGCGCTATAGCGCTTTTCATCAAGTTTTCATTTTCTAACAAACTGTCAATATGTCGGTCAGCTCCCAAAAGCATTTAAGTAATAACGAAAGTAATAAAAAGAATGACAAAACACTCAAACCACTGTTTCCAAAGCAAGCAGAATGTTCATATGTGTCTTGTTATTGGTATGTAATTCATTACTTTACTATATTGCTACGTAACATTTTTTAAGACGAATGAGTATATAAATTCTTTTGTTTGTTTTGCCTCTTAAATAGCGAAGAAAATGTGTGGAAACTGTGTCAAGATGTATCAATTAGGATACCGGGGGAATTAGACAGGTGCTTTGTGGTTTTTATTTCAAACCCTTGTCGTACGGTGCCGCTGTGGAAACAAAGGGCAGGGCGTGAAGAGGATCGCCTTGTAATATGGGTACGTATAGACAAAAATTGTACTTTATTATTATTTCCACACTAAAAAATAGTACTAATGTTAATTTAACCCATAAATTAAAAATTTTGCGATTTTATATTGTTGTTTTAGAGTTAACATGTTTGTTCCTAAGTGATATAAGAACATATTGCACAATAGCTATCTGCATGATTAATTTATTTTGACCCTTGAAGACCAATATTCTTGATGTGTTCATGATGATCAAATCATTTATATAAATCTCCAACATATTATGTATTGTAATTACTTAAAAATGAAGACTTAAATTGCATGAAATATAAAAACTGTAGTAGAAATGTATTTTCATAGTTTTGTCATTTCTTTTCATAATTTGTATAAGTGTACAATCTATCCAGTTAGAACCTATTTTTGTCTTTGGAATGAGTTGCTCTCTAATTATTTCCAGGTCACTAGATGTGAATGTGGATCAGAGAATAAAGTAATGTGAATGTATTATGTTGTGCAGAGATCCATTGTAGTATTTTTTTAAGCTTTTATCAAAAACTTTAAAAAAGAATTTGTAAATTTGTATCTTGCCTGTTGATATAATACATCCTTAAATTGTTCTATGTAAATGATTTTCTATTTTCCAGGATTACCATGTTATATTTTTGTACTCATGGGACTCTAAGACTTGCCTTGTTTATGATCTGGATTCAGAGCTACCATTCCCTACATTCTTTCATAAATATGTCACAGAGACTTTCCGCACCGACCAAGTTCTGAAGTCGGACTTTCACAGGTAATAACTTTAATTCTGTTTTCTTTTCTTTTTATTTACAAATGGTAGTGTTACATAAAGTTATTATGAGTAGTGAAACATACTGATAAAGTTATGCTCAGGATGAAAGTTGTTTATGTAAACACCTGTTACTGGCTGACAATAATATTGTCTATGGATTTATTTTGTGGTAATACTAAGACATGATCTTTGGCATATTGTAATACCTCTTTATTTTATAATCCATTGGGCTATTGTATGTTATTGCTTCTGTTTATTCATTACATGTGTGATGTAAAAAAACTATGTCTCTATTTTCTTGACACAGATTCTTCCGTGTGGTTCCTGCGAAGCAATTTTTACAGCACTTTGCTTCTGATCGTCGGCACATGAAGCGGCCTGATGGCTCTTGGATTAAGCCTCCACCACCATATCCTGCCATATGTACAAGTGGTATGTACCAATAATGTTATAATTATTGTTTACTAATGTTAATATTTTGCACAAATACAAATAGTAATACTGTTTTTAATCATGTGGTTATGTCATTGGATCGATAGAAAAGCATGATCGGCCAAAGTGTTTGGCTTGGGACATTATCAGTATCACATAATAAAATTATTGTCCATAAACAACAAATACAATTTTGTCTCTGGTTCCAGTTTCAACCCACAACTTGGATGAATACATCAACATGGACCTGGGAATAGGTCCTGGCCAAGTATTTAATTTGACAGATTTTGTACACCGTTTTTACAAAGTTGAAAAATAAGTTTAAAGTCTAAAACTTTAGATAGCCAATTTGTTTCAGCGATTGCTGGGTTTTTGTTGATTATGTTTTAATAATCTTTGTTAAGTTTTTATTAATTTGGTTTCCATTATATGTTGGTGAACTATTATTAAATTATTTTTATTATACAATGTTTGTAAAATCCAATTTTTAATATTAATGAAAATAATATCTTTGTTAAAGCTGAATTATGCTAAACATTCAAGAGCTCTTTTTATGTAATCTTTAAAAAATAACTAATCAATTTCTTTTGCTATTATTAAATATTGGATTTCACAGATATGTGTGTTTGAAATCACATTGTGATATTATTTGTTATGGGCATTTATTTTAAATATTACATTCAAAATACATTTAAATACACACACATTTAATATATTACATTCACACACCATGAAATGGTTTTGCACAATACATACATAGATATTTAATATTACAGAATTATATGCTTTATGATACATGTTTCTATGTAGGAATATACTTAAGGCATATAGCCTGATGTTATTCTTTTACCTGCATAGAAATATTATGCAAATATTTGATATAAAATACATTTTTAATATTCCATACTGTTACAGCTTTATGATAATCGCTTAGAGGAATTTATGAAATTAAAATTTTGAACATGTTATTGTTGCTTCGTTGTAATGGTTTATGAATGATAAAAATTCTTCATTTTTATAAATTCAGAATTGTCGACATAGGTATAAGATTAATTTTATTTAAAATTAAAGTCCTTTTTATATATTAAGTAAACAAATTTCTAATCTCAGAGCTTTCTTTGGTATCTTATAACCTCAAGAATGGTTTGAGTGTGTTGTGCTATTTTAAGCAGAATGATTTGACTATAGAGTAATTTTTTGTTGTCTTTACATTAATATTAACTGGATTTTTTTTTACATTTTTAATCCTAGTACACCTAATAATGTCTACTGCATCTCAACTCATCTTTACTCAAATGTATTTGTCCTTTTTATATTTTATTTTTTACGGACTTTCTAATGCGTGTATGAACGCGATCAATTAACGCCATTGTAAAAACTGTCAGCTTAATTTCTCATTTGAATAATAGGTGAATAATTTCAATGAAAACTTAAACTTGAACAACCTCGTTAATTGTAGTCGCAGGTCGCGTGAGAGACGAAGGTTCGACTTTATAATGGTTTTGTCGCGTTTTAAGTTCACCCTTATGCATAATAGCACGCACCTACACAGTGGACATAAATTGGATGTGAACACGCCCTAATGGAAAGAATTTTGAAGTTCTTAATTTAAATATGACAAAATTATTGCGGGAAAAAAATTGGGGTTATGTATGCCACTACAGTAATAAAGAATAAAAGACAATTAACATAGAAGGTGGATGTTTTGTATGAATGTGTGAGGTTATGTTGTGTGACTGTCAAAGATTAAACGCATGTAGTACTGCATTAAAAGTAAAAAGTGTGGCCTCAATTATGAAAAAAGTCTCTGAAATAAGAAATCGTGAATAAGTCCAGTTTGATTCCCTGGTTAGTTATTTTAGAATTTATTGGGAATGACAGAGCGTAGAGTTTCGACTCAGTAAGTGCCATTTTAAAAGTACCATACAAAAATGTTTCTTGTAGAACTGACAAAGTTCGCTGGAAAGAGAAATCCTCGCTCTTAAGGATCTATAGATTTTTAATTGGAGTTGAGTACCTGCTTTTTATAAAAAGTACAAAATTGTTCATCTTCTTCAATATGTTAAAAAACTACGCTTATTTTAACTTTTTAAGCGATTATTTGTCGCATTACATTTTATTTTTAACTCATTAACCATCTGACGTACAAATTATTCTTTAACTTATAAGAGTGAGTATAAAATTTTAGTAGGTTTTTGAACTTTACCTTAATTTATTGGAAATTATACTTTATACTTGATTATATAATTATATTATACCTGGTTAATAAATAACGTTTAAGTATAATTATTGTAATGTATATCGCGAGGTAGCTTTTGTATGTTGTTAAATCTATTTCATAATTTTGTATCAACTTTTTATACACTCTTTTTAACCTTCCCTAGCACCACTAGAGTTAATTGTGAACAATGTTAAACTCGTAGCGTTAATAATTATGTATTTAAATATTAATATTGGTTTCGCGTATATTTGTAAAGATTAAAAATTCATATTGGAATATTTAATTACAAAAATAATTGATTTATCATATCAATATTTTGCCTTGGACATTTAAAAAAAATATAACATCTGTCGTGTGACGTCTTCTTTATTATACGTTTTTAATTATTTGAATTACTATATACTAACATATAACCCAAATATTTTTAAATTAAGCTACTACTTTATAAGATTTAATATATAGCATAATTATATTCTTGCAAGTTACGGTTATGATGCATTTTAAATTTTAAAATACCGTGTTAAATACGTAAAGAAATATATTGTTAATTATATAATACTGATAAAAGCACAAAAACAATAGGTTTTGTTAAAATATTTAACCACATTCTATTTTAATTAAAATATAATTTTTACATATTTTCTGCAGGGTTTTTGATCTGTGTTCAAAGTTAAATTCTTACCTCCTAGTCGAAATATTTTAGTGTTTTAATTGAAATTTATTACACCTGTATTTTATAGTTGTAAGCCTTCTTCCAACGGTTGCTTTGAAATGTCTATTAGTAACCTAAGATCTAGTCATATTTATCTCTTTACTGTAATTAAGAAAGTTTACCAGCACTATCATTCCGAGGCGTAGCTGGATGCTATATGGGACCAAAGTTTATAACTCATGGACGTGGTGGGGTCCAGTTTGCAGCGAGAGTCCGGGGCCGTGCGGATGTCCCACTGGTTACGCCTTTCTCTATACTATTCACTATTCTAATTCAATTGATACCTTCCTTCTACGCCTTTAAAATATCTATCGACTGAATGCTAAGTGATAATTATTATGCTTGTGCTTTTAATGTAAAGTTACATGTTTTAATTTAAGATCTTATCAAGCTACAAATAAAACGATGTGCTAATTTGTAGTTTTATTTTATTTACATGATATAACGTTTTGGTATCCCTCTATTTTTGAAAATAACACACATTAAGGCGAGTACACACTTGAGTAATCCAATATTCAATTTAATATTCATATTGTTTCTGTTGTTTTGTATGTGGTATTTGATAATTTCATCTTTTGACTGGATAAAATTGAGGTGAATTATTAAAACTTGTGTTTGGCAATTCTCACATTTGTAAAAAGAACAAAATAAAAGAACGTTTTTAATATATAACTTTATTGCAATAAAACTAACATTTACTTAGTTAAAATCTCAGCACCATCATCAGTGATTAAAACAGTATGTTCAACTTGTGCAGTCCGTGCACCGTCCTCAGTCACCACTGTCCACCCATCTTCAAGTATGACGGTGTGCTCACTTCCATGTGATAGAACTGGCTCTATTGTGAATGTCATACCTGGCTTCATCAGACCGGGATATCTGTTCACTAAAAAAAAAATATTTTTAGGACAACTGTATTTTATAATAATTTTGCAATTACTGAAAACTTTCCCATTTCACAAAACTGAGCTTAATGCAAGAAAATTATAAATAAAATTTGAATTAGCAAATTAATACAATGGTGTAAATTATATTCTACTGTTTTTAAACCTATAAAAATCATTCTTATTTTTCAAATTGTGCTGAAACAAGTTCTTGTATTTTTAACTTACAAGTATGGTATATCTCAGGAGGACCATGAAAATATTGTCCAATTCCATGGCCTAGAAATGCAGGTAACACAGTAAGACCATTTCTTTTCGCATGCCTGTTTATAACAGCACCAATATTACAAAAAGGTACATCAGGACCACAACATTTAATTCCCTGAAAAATAAATACATTTAGGACAAAATAGAATGCTTTAAGAATATATTTACCTCGGTCAAGTAATCACACAAAATGACTCCGCACACAAGGAAGTCGAGAGAAGAGTAGCTAAAGGCTGGAAAAGATACTGGGGCTTCAAAGAAGTCATGAAGGACAAAACATTGCATAACAACTTAAAAGGTAAACTATTTAACACCTGCGTATTACCAGTCCTTACGTATGGTTGTCAAACATGGGCTCTGACCAGAAACTTGACGAACAAACTCGCAAGTTGTCAATATGCAATGGAGAGGAGTATGCTCAGTAGTCGGAAATCGGACAGGCTAAGTAACCGAGCAATAAGAACAAGGACAAATGTTACAGATGTAACAACCAAAATCAGAAGACTGAAATGGCGATGGGCGGGACATATGATACGAGGACACAATAAATGGAGCAAGACTGTGACACAATGGTATCCTAGAATGGGTAAAAGGAGAAAAGGCCGGCAAACAAAAAGATGGGACGACGACATTAGACAAGTTGCAGGAGTAACATGGAGTAGAGTGGCAAGAGAAAGAAGCGAGTGGAAAAGGTTGGAGGAGGCCTATGTCGATTGGCAAACAGATCTACAACAAATAAAAAAAGAATCAAATCCTAGAGTAATAATAAATGTATAGTAGTGTATTAGTAATAAGAAAAATGTACAAAAACTTTGTAAAATGATCTGAATTAAAGGCTATTTTATTTTATTTATTTATTTATTAGAATGCTTTAAATTCATATTAATCAATTCAGGATACATGGACTGATTTTCTAAGAAATAAAGTCCCAACATAAGTTAATAAGCCTCTTTCGTGAAGAAAGTATGGTGTCAGTATCAAAAATTGTTTGTAAAAATCGTAATGTTTAAACACTTACAATATCTAGACATTCCTCTGTGATATGAACAAGGTGTTGTCCTTTATCATCAACATTTCCAATAAGAAATGTTTTTGAACAATCTCCATGATATTGCTTGAAAAATACCTAAAAAAGATAATCATTTTGTGATAGCTCTTTTAACCAAATAAACTTGAAATATACAAAAGTTTTTAACCTTACTGTTATATCTACATTAATGATGTCACCATCTTGTAATGGTCTCAAATCAGGGATGCCATGGACAGCCACATTGTTAACAGATGTGCAGACACTCTTCGGGAAGCCTTTATAATGTAACGGTGATGGATAAGCACCAGCTTTAATAGTTAAACTATGAACTAACTCATCAATATCATCTGTTGTCACACCTGGCTACAATTAAAAACAAAAATCTGAAAATTGCACTAATATTTTAATTGAGAATCAGTCACCAAAGGACCAAATATGAACATTGAAATTTAAAAAAAATGGTTTATTAAATTTTTATTATGCTAAAAAAGGAATATATTATATTAGGCCAAATTGTGTCATTTTGCCGACCACTGGCATAGATATTGGTTTATTGTAAATAAATTTATACTTGTACAGAAACTTCACAGAGTACCAAGCATTATGGATTGCTATTGGGGAGAGGCCTTCAATCAGCAGTGGATGAGCTTAGGCTGATATTGATACATTTGAAAACTTTTAATATTCAAATACTATTCATTAATTTTAAATAAATTACAATACTCACTTTGATGTATGCATGTAGTTGATTTAAAATTGAGGCTGCTAATTTGCAACTATTCCTCATACCACTTATTTGGGTATCATCTTTTATTTCAGCTAATTTTGGTACATATTCTGTAGTTTTTAATACATAATCAGGTCTTATAATACTGGCAGGTACTATTCTACTTGGTGATGTTTCTACAGGCACAACTTTTTCATAAACTCCAAACCTCATTCTACAAGTGAAAACATAAATAATCATATAAAAAAAATGATTAAATTCACAAGAGAGACATGTGGTAATAGCTTATAGTTGAAAAAACTTACAATATCCGTTTTTGGACCCGTGGATTAAAAAATTTTGGTAGTCTCATTATAAATTATGTAATAACTTATCTATGTAAATATCTTTTAATAGTACATTCTTAGTATCAATGGATAACAAATTTGGCAGAGCTTATATTATTTTGAATGACTCAAAACTCTTATAATTGCTTACATATTAGTTCTCCATAAACGGCCAACGGCAGTAATTGCTTTGTTAGCATATTCCATATTTTATAAACTGGTAACTAGGTTTTGATTTCAGAGTCTGCAAGTTAGTTTATTTCATATTTTTAAAAGTTTAATTATCACACTAACGTTGTTTAACTAAATAAAAAAAATATTTAAAACACCGAACGCCTGCTTTTAAAGAAATGTCAATGTCATCTTGGACTTGACTTTGTAATTTTGACAATAATCCAACAGAATATAAAAGAATTCGCAATGTCCACTTGGCGTCTATGGTCCAAGTCATAGATTTTACAAAAGCCAAAAGTTTTTTAACTACGTCTATGGTAACCGGGTTGAGTTATCAGCCGGGTTATTGTTTTTCATTGATTCATAAAAATTGAAAACGATATTGCTTACAAGTTACTTTACAGTTCTACAAAGAAAATAGTCGTTTCTTTGTAAAACAATTTAAGTTTAAATATGTCACAAAGTAAGTATAAATTTAAAGTATTGAATGTGAAAATTGTTTGTATGTTGTTTGTTTTAAAATTAACTTTTAGATTCTGAAAAACCATCTACTCAAGATGTTGTGGATCCGACTGGCCCAGCAGCCCGCAAAGGTGTTCTTATATCGTTTAGAACTGGCAAAACCATGGAAATTCCGGAAAAAGATATAGTATGTATTTGTAATCTAACCTAAGTTGTAAGAGTTAAATTTACATTATTGATGTTATTAGTCTTGTTATGTGAGATGTGGAATATAAACATTTTAAAATTTAGTTGGGAAGATGCAGATTTGTTGGAGAGTTTGAAAAGTTAAACCGGATAGGAGAAGGCACTTATGGTATTGTCTGTAAGTATAGTAAATGCTATTTAATTTATTACATCAGTATTAAAATTGAAATTTATTTTCCATAGAGTAGCACATTTTTTATATACAGTATTTTATAATTATCATTCATTAATCAATTATTATATGAGAATCATAACTATACATATAATATTTTATAAAATATTCTTAATTGGCATTACAGATAGGGCTAAAGATAAACTGAATGGCAATATTGTGGCCTTAAAGAAGGTGAGGATGGATGTAGAAAAAGATGGATTGCCTTTGAGCGGCTTGAGAGAAATACAGGTATTAATGGCTTGCAGGCATGAGAACATTGTGCAATTAAAGGAGGTTCTAGTAGGCCGCTCTTTGGAAAGGTTTGTATTATGTTTTAGATACCAGAGCTATGGCACTATTTTTTTGTTTAAAGAGGTAAACAGTGTAATGCCTTATTTTAATTGATTGGTGCATGTATAATTTCTTATTTCGGCAGCATATTTCTCTCAATGGAATATTGTGAGCAGGATTTGGCATCTTTATTAGACAATATGACATCTCCATTCACTGAATCTCAAGTCAAATGCCTGATGCTGCAAGTGCTCAAAGGACTGAAGTATTTGCACTCCAATTTCATTGTGCACAGAGATTTGAAAGTGTCAAATTTACTACTGACAGACAAGGGGTGTGTTAAAATAGGTAATCTTATTTTTACTGTTGTTTTATAATATTTTTCTTTTTGATTTATCTCTATTTTATAAATTTATAATTTCAAGTTTAAAAATATGTATGTAAGTGTTAAATTTAATTAGGAATTCTATCTAAGGGTCAATAAAACCAAAAATATGTTTTTAGCCGATTTTGGTTTGGCACGTTGGTTGGGTGCTCCAGCGCGTAGTGCTACGCCTAGGGTTGTGACATTGTGGTACAGAGCACCTGAACTCCTACTGCAGTCACCTAAGCAGACACCAGCTCTCGACATGTGGGCTGCGGGATGCATCCTCGGAGAACTCTTGGCAAACAAACCACTTCTACCAGGAAGGACGGAGATAGAACAGTTAGAGTTAATAGTGGACTTACTGGGTATGTTTCTTGGTTAATAAATTTTCAATTGACATATTATTAAATTTGAAATTTTCTTAGGTTATAATTCCTTGCTTTTAGTAATGGTTTCTCACTATTTAACACTGTCCTTTAAATTCAAAGACTTGTAGTGCACTAGAATAAAAGTGGTGTAACAACATAAAGCGTAATTTCTCTCATCTTTTAAATACATTACATATGTCCATATTTATATAATTACTAAAAAAAATCCTATATTCTTCTCCTTCTTATAGTGCCATCTTCCGAAGTTCGTCGATCATTAGGGCGACTTTCGTTCTTGACAACGCGGCTCTGAAAAGTGAACGCGTGCTCTTTCCATACCACTGGCGTAGGTTTTTGAGCCAGGACGTTCTTCTTCGCTTTCCGTAGATCTTGCCTTGTACTATATTACTCAGTAATAACATAGCTTTTAAATGATGCAAGAATTTTTTAATCGACCCAGTAGTTTTTTAATTATTTCAATACATACAAAAATACCAATTTCCTCTATGTAATAATAATAAGTATAGATAACATTTAATATTATCTTCTAAATGTATTTTTTATAGGAACTCCATCGGATGCTATCTGGCCAGAGTTCAGTACACTACCAGCGCTACAGAACTTCACTCTAAAGCAGCAGCCATACAACAACCTAAAGCAGCGGTTCCCCTGGCTGTCGGCCGCGGGCCTGCGCCTACTCAACTTCCTCTTCATGTACGACCCCAACAAGAGGGCCACAGCTGAGGAGTGTCTGCAGAGTTCTTACTTTAAGGAACAGCCGTTGCGTAAGTACTAACACTTTTTTTTTTTTTAGACGGTGGTATCTCACGGACAAGTGTACCAAAATGGTTTAAAATGGTTAAAAATTAAATTTGTGAAAATGTAGCAAAATTCTTTCTTATTTATACTTTGTAAATTGAGATATGTTTGTAGATGACGGTACTAAATGCAGTATACTTAGCGAACTTTTGTATATCATTTCCCCTTAAAAAAATCACAGATCATTGAACATTCATAAAAAGACCACCGAATAAATGTTAGTGGTTAATAAAGAATTTTTAAAATAAAAAGTATTCAAGTGCAAAATTAACTCCAAATATATTCTTGGCTAAAATAAAATGTGATTATTCTTCCAGCGTGTGATCCGAAGTTGATGCCGAGCTTCCCACAGCACAGGAATATGAAGGGCCAGCAGAAGCCCCCCAGCAACCAGCTCAACATCCCCCTTTCTAACCTCAACACTGGTGCCAACGACCAGACTAACAACCTGCCTGCTATCTCAGACTTACTTGGATCGCTTGTTAAGAAACGCAGGATCGAATAAGAGTGTACAGCGTAACTAAGTATTCATACAAGATTTAGGGCTTGTCCCACCAAATTGTAAAAACATATAAAATATGTGATGGAAATATCGGATTTTGTTACCTTATCTGACAGTGAATCACTTTTATGCTATCTGAAGTGCTATCAGCCAGTGGTGGGACAGGCCCTAATTTTTTTTGTATCATTTTATGTGTTGTAATTGGATGGGATTTGAATTTTCTTTCCAAATAATTATAAGAATAAAATTAAAACAGTTTTTTTCATTACTATCCCTGCTTCATTTTAAAGTACTGCAAATAAAATTAGTTCTATGAAAACCCTTAATTTGGCGGAGTTTTTGGTAATAAAAAAATTATGTTAGAAACACACTATAATTATAATCTTACGTATTTTTCTCTAAACTAGTTCAGATTTTTCAGTTCGTCACAAAAGACCAGTGATTCTCAAACTCTTTTTTGTTGCGGGACATATTTAACGATTTCAAAATTTTGGCGGCACACAAATAAATAGATAAAAAATATTTACTTCAACACACTACATATGATAAATGGCTTATGACATAAAAATATGCAAAATTTGGCGGCACAGTGGTTGACAAACACTGCATTAGACACTATCGAATCAGGGGTTAAAGCCACCTAAGTTATGGATAGATTTTTTAAGGGTAGTGTTTAATTTAAATAGTGTACAAATGTATAATTTAATAATTTATTTTAACATTGTCATGGTACACAGACAAGATATTACAATTGTGTATTTCCCCTTGTCGTTATTCTGTTGAGTAGTCGTCGTCGCACGAAATTTCCAAAGCTTTGTAAAATTTACGATATTTTTCCGCCTTTGTTGTATCGCTGCTTTTCACCTTTACCTTATCTTTCTGAAAAGGTTATTGTGTATTAAACAAAATTATATCAAAATAAACAATAGATAAAGATTGCAAAATTACAGCTTTTAGCATATTCTCGATCTTGACAAATATTTATTTGTATTGCATATAAATCATTGTAAAAGCAATATAAGTCACCTTTTCTATGCTTATATTATTTGTATTTTTGTATGGATTGTAATAGCTCAAAAACTACTGAGCCGATTTTAAAAATTCTTTTACCATTACAAAGGTAATTTATCTATGAGTAATATAGGCTATTTTTTCATATCACGGGCGCGAAGTTGCGAGCAACATCTAGTGTTTAAATACCTACCGATTCTTTTTCTTGTTTTTCAATGCTTCTCAAGCTTCGAAGACAATGTGAACAGAGTATCAAGTCTTCCATATGATTTATGGTCTTCTTTCTATGATGATGTTTTAGACTACAAAAAAACCACAATTTTTATAAGTATTTAGACATTGCTTTACGTATATAGTGCGTTGAGCGCTCCCCTATACTTAGGGCTGTCAACTTTAATTAACATAGTTTGTTTATTACCACTGTGATCCGAAGACATCGACTCTTGAAAGCAATAAAGATCATGCAAATTCAAAAATCTGGCAACCCTATACTGTGGGAAAACATAGTAAGACGTAATACATACACTTTAGCACAATAGTCACACTGTGACTTATCTGTACGATGAGTGATAATGTGCTGGCCCAGCTCACGGTACGTGGGGAACCGCTCTTCACAATGCGGGCAGTTCAGCCTTCCTTCCGTCCGCCCACCATTAGTCTCGTGTTCGATCAGCTCGTTAGATGTCTGGAAGTTTCGATGACAACTTTTGCACCTGAAAATGGCCAATGAATATCTTAGAATTCCTAAAATTATAAGTTGACATCCCTAGTCTTCAGACAACTAAACACGAGTTTTAACTATAGACATACATAGATAATATTGATTTAACATGAATTAAAAGTGCTAATTTATTACGTACTTCTACTTTTTTCTAATGATTCTGGCTCCTTTGGGTTTAAAGCTAACACACTTTTAAATCATTATTAACAAAACATTTTTGAGAACGTTACAAATTTTGTGTCGTGCGTCTAATATACGATTATTTTTACGGGAACTTGTAACGTATTTAAAAAACTATGAGGAACAGATTAAGTAGTCAGTTTCGCTAAGTTAAGGGCAGGACTTAAAGATTAGTGGCACATATCAGATGGACAATCATCGAGTACATAATAATTAATAGAAATTTATGAACACTCGGTCTTACAACTCGTGTTTTTTGTTAGTATTAAAAATGTTTAATTTCTATTACTAAATAGTAGCAGAATTTGAGTTAAAAGGTAAATCTTTATTTTATTAGATTTTGTAAATTCTTAATATTAGATTTGATTTGCGGTTTCACAGGCAAAAGCAAAAATTTTTGTTTTTACATACCCGAAATGATCTTACCCAAAAGTTATAAACCCCAAATTATTTATACGGGCTTTTTAACCAACTCAAAGTAGATATAACATAAATATAAACAATTTAGTCGTAAAGCCACATACCAATTTAGTCATTTAGATGAAAAGTAATAAATAATACGTTTAATTTTATAATTAACCTATTTTTAATCATAAAATTAAACTAAACGTCACAATTAAACGATACTATAGATTTATATGACATATAAATCTTTAAAATTCGTATAAAAATATGAAATAAGCTTACATAAATATGTTTGGTTGAAGATGATATGCCATATGTTCAATTATTTTCTTAGGATAGAAATAATGGAACTTTTTATCGCAACACGTAACGTATCCGGGGACACCGTGCCTCTCTTTGTAATGTTTCATCAGAGATCTGTAATCGAAGCCCTTCCCATGGCAAATGCAACATTCCATTTTGTAAAATAGTGTGATTTGTTTGTCTAATTCTGCACCTTGCTTCGCTGGTCTGCCATCTATTAAAACTATTGGATCTAATGTATCACATGTGTTAATGCTATTTATTTCTTCGCTGACTTTTTTCGGGACTACTCTAGTTGGCGATTGCCGTGATCTGATACTTTTAACAGGCTTTGGGGAATGTACAAGTAGCGACGTATCCACTCGCTCCGCTTTTGCAAATTCTTCCAACGGCATCGCTTCCATGAATTTCATCTCTACGGGTGATTTCTTTTTATGTTTTGTTGGACTTTCGCTTCGTTGTCTTTCTGATGGTGTTGATTTAGATTTAGGTTCTACTAAAACCTCTTTATTGTCATTTTGAATATTTTGTGATGATAATGCTTTGATTATTGGATGCATCTTCTTTTCGGGTGCTGGATGTAAGTGTTCTTGCTCTTCGCGTTTGATTTTGTGAAACTCTAAGAACTTTTGTGTTTTTTCTACTTTCACCGAATATAAGTGCAACGAAGCCACTTGTTGCAGACAATCGTGGCATATTGCTTTAGGAAGATTATCGTCAGTACGAATCTGTAAAGTTTTGTATAGTTATAAATTTATTAGAAACGACAATGCAGTGATTATGTGTTTATTGTGGAAACCATATAAAAATAGTTTTCGAGTTTTCCTTTCATCAGACGGTACAGTGCCGCATTCTCAAAGTAGTTACTTTATAAAAGTTAAGCAAAGGAAGTTGTTGAGTTTTACTAACGTACCACTATATTGAAAAGATTCTTAATCTTGCGCTTCGTTTCAGCGCTTAAGGGTTTTAACTTTATGATATCGTTGCACAGACATAGTCGACATGACAATTCGCGCACTATAGTTTTTTCTAACGTTGAAAAATCGTTCATACTGTAAATTTAAACACAAAACTATACTCATATGATTAGATTTCACATTTGTTATTTTGATTTCAGTTGCAGTTTTAATTTGTCCATGACAATGTTACGTTTTTAATAAATAAATCAATATTACTTTGGCATAATATGTCAAAATATACTGCTCTTTGTGGACAAAAATGGCCAGTTAACATTTCACATACGTTATGATATTGTAGCAAAATAAAACTCTGTAAACCTCCGATCAGTTTCCGATTTTAAAATATCCAAAATATAAATTTGCAAGTACAACACAGCATCACCATCATCATCATCATCATCATCATCATCATCATCGTTATCCTACTCCCGTAGGGTCAGTGCGACAAGTTTTTAACCTCCACGTAACTCTATCACTTCTATTGACTTTCCAGTTTTATCACCATTCAATTTTAAATGAAACGTGTCATGTTCAAATTCTTGGAGATTACTAAAATCGACTTCGGTAAAACATGGAAATTGGAAGTAAGTTTTAATAGCTTTACTTATAAACATTTTGTGTTTAAGATGGTTTGTTTTCTTTTACTATTTAAGAACGATTTACTGATTAAAAGTGAAAACTCAGACGAGACTTAGCAATAAGTGAAAAGCAGAAAATGTAATCTAACCTTATTACTTATATTTATATTATAAATGCAAAAGTTTAGATGGATGGATATCTGTTAGAAGAAAGGGCCTAAACAGTTGAACGGATCTCGATGTAAGGTATTGTATTGTAAATTCTAATCTGTGGGCAGAGAAGAGGGCAGAATTGAAGTGTTTCTTATAAATTGCATTGTTATTTGTAATATCGTAACAACAAAAGTAAAGTAATAGATTGTTAAAAGCTTTAATTATCAGAGAAATTGTTTTTACAATGTTGATCTTTCTATAACGTCATTATAACAAATTGTATTTCACTAAAAGCTGTAACGTACTCTTAAAAGCTTTTGCGTTTATTATAGAGCGTAGTAATAATTGAAATACCGTATGGTGTGTGTTATTTTATTGAATTTAATTTGTGGAATTTTAATTTTCGCTCCGAAATTCAACAATTTAATTTGCATCCTAATTTATTACATAAACGAAAACGGACGTTATATGACCTAAGGAATTTTGCAGTAAAACCGTAAATATTCTTCAAGCTTTATGATTTACTGGCTGTTGACGCGCCTTCGTCTGCGTAAAATTAAAAATTAATTCAATACATACAAAAATACAAATCTTTCCTCTATATATTAGTATAGACTAAGCTTACGCATACAATGATATAACTTAATTTCTTTTTTTTTTATTATAACTGAGTATATAATAGTTATTGTTTGTTCCGGTTTATTACCAGGCACAGTTTTTAAGCTCTTTCAAAAGTTTTATCAGTGAGTAATGTAGGTTATATGTATTTATTTATCAGAACGATGTTGGAACGCGTACTCATATGGAAAGGACTGAATTTTAATATTTTAATTCTATAAATTACCCTAACGTCGGAGTTACGTTACATTGTTAAAGAGATCGCTCGACTTATCGGCTTTATGAATACGATAAGCCTAAAAAACAATTAAGAGGATTAATTAAATTAATCTCTACATCGTAACGTATACCGAGAAATGAGAGGATTTTAATGAAAAATAGTTCTCATAAGTACAATATTATTCAAATTAATCCTTTAAAATCTACAGGTCTTGGGTTCAAATCCCGCCATGTACCAATTTTTCGATTTTTCGAATTTTTCATATGTACATAATTTACCCGACGTTCTTACGGTGAAGGAAAACATCGTGATGCAACCTGTACATATCGGCGAAGAAATTCAAAGATATGTGTTAAGTCAACCAACCCGCACTTGGGCAGCGTGGTTGACTACCTATAGCCTTGTCACCCCTTATTAGGGTAGGCGCCGAGCCCCTCGGTTGGGACGTATACTGAGCTGGTGATGATGGGCGGGCTATAAATTTGAATGGATTTAAAAATAATAAAGGATAACTGTGAAAACAGAAAGAAACAAGAAGAGTTTTGTAGAGATATTTTTAAATTGAAAATGTAACAAAAGCAAACTTATACTCAAACTATTGGAAATATTTCATTTTTCCGAAGATCTAATTACATTTAACACAAGTGGAACAGCAAACGATAAAAAGATAGCAGACAATGATGTACGATGGCTTTTTCATGCTCGCGTCGTTCAGACATCCTCCCTATCGATGTCGCAGTTTCTTTGCCTCGGGCACTCGTGGGCTAAAATTTAAAGAAAAACGTTATAAGCATGTAGCTTTTTAAATAACCTATTTTTATCATACCAATGTTTTGGAATACTGATGCCGCAAATATGTTTGCTATATGTTCTGTACTAATCTTATAAAGTGAAAAGATTTGTATTTTGGGATGTTATTATATATAAAAAATTCTTTCACCATTAAAAAACTATGTTATCAGTGAGTAGCATAGGCTATAATTTTATTATATTTTTAATTTCACGCAGATGAACGCGCAACAGCTAAAAGAAATGTAATAAATAACTTAAAATATACATTGTTATCTGTCTGTGACAGTAACTAAAACGAAAATTGAAGTTAATATTATTAGTATTTGGGTTTAAACGGGTACGTTAATCTTTATTATAAATTAAATAAAGGGACAAATTTATAGCAAAAGGGGCACTAATGGAATAATAAGTTTTTAATTGGATAACTGGCTACAAGGTCTTTAATAGACAAGTTCACGTTTATCGTATAGTAAATGAACACTTTCATTCTAAATTTAACAATATTTATTATCTAACGTCGCGTGAATTATCTGCTTACATGGAAAATGTATTTGCTCTGGACTTAATCGTGTGTCATCGTTCATCTGGTCAATGGAGTGCTTTGTATTAGAGTCGTGGTATTTTAAAGAAAGTGTTATTTTACAAATTAAAGCACTAGTAGGTTATATTTCACCGTGTTCAATAGAAATCTGTGCGTCACTTACTAATTTCATTTTTATTCAATTATCTATTTATAAAATTGTATTCTTCCATTTCGAGTAAATTGTAAGTAAAATTTACTCGAAATGGAAAAAACTGAGAATGAAACAGGTAAGAATATTTAAAGTTTACATGATAATCGAATGAGGTCTTTGAAATGACTGTAACTTAACAATAACTTCGAAGATTAAGTAACAATTGGTAATCGAATAATTAATTATAACTGTAACATTTGGTACAGCCAATATTCCAGCGATATTGAAATTCTGCAAATTTCAATTGAAACAATTGCTTGGCTCCGTTCGCTTTTGTCTCATCCTGGTGATATAGTACCGGATAATCTGAATCTAAGTTTAAGTTACCTAGTTATCGTTGTTGAAACGTTAACCAAGCTGCGAATTGATTTGATTAAACTTGTGAAATCCTGCGGCTATAGTATCTCATTTCGCGGATATCGATCGTCAAAGTTTTATAAACTTTAATCAACTTTGAAATTGAGAATCTTTGAAATCGAGATCGGATTTACGATTTGCTTCTCTTATTATTATTATACTAGTATAAGTTAGCTTTTCCCCGCGACTCCGTACGCGTAGAATGAAAAAAAGAAAAGAGTGTAGTCTATGTGTTCTTCCAGACTATCCTCTACATCTATACCAAATTTAATTGAAATCCGTTCAGCCATTTAGGCTACAAACTCTAAAAAACATTTATCCAACTATAAAATATCGCATTCAAAAAAATTTGTAGTTTTATGAATGCGTCGAATTAATTTTTTTCATAGTTCTTTGGTTTGATCGTAACAGCATATTATTTTGTTATTGATATACAACTATTGTAAAACATCGAAAGATTAGTCACTTTTTATTTGAACTAAAGACTTCAACGTCATTAGAAGTAACTTATAGAAAACTACAGACACTAAACTGTAGTAAATAATAACCTCTTTGAGCACATAGCAATAACGTATGGAATTGTACTTCGAGTAGTAAATCAAATGTTCATTAATAGTGCATTCTAGCTCTAGGAGCAATATGTTGGCTGAATATTTTTGAAGCAGCAAATCGTTTAGCAGTTGGGGTTTTCCGCTCTAACGACCCGACTAACTTGAATTCACCATACCTCTGCCAAGTTTCTTTACAACGTCATTTTTTTCTTATACAGCTTTTAAATTTTAAAATTTAAGTTAATTTCAAAACATAAATGTAGCCTATAATGTCTATTATTCGCACACACTACTACTATACTAATATTATAAATGTGAAAGTTTAGATGGATGGATGGATGTTGTTATAATGTGTAGTCTAAACGGCTGAACTGATTTCGATGATATTTGGTATAGATGTAGAGGATAGTCTGACAGAACACAAAGGCTACACACTTTTGTTTTTTTTTAATCCACGCGGATGGAATCGCGGGCGAAATATATATTTATATTCCCACCGAAATCTGTCTAGATTTCCGTGCGTATTCTTAAAGATCTTTCATCAATTAATTTCAATGACTCAACTATATCTTTATAAAAAAAAAAAACCTCACAATTAAGTAGATCTACATAATAATAGTAACGTTGTTGTCGCACTGAGAGTCCTTTTTCATTTCTTCGTGTAAATATAGTGTCAGTGTCTTTTTAAACTCTATCTTCTATCTAACCACTAAACAGCTACAATGAGATGATTAACTAACGACTTGGCATAATATTAAATCTATTTTGTAGAAATTGTATAATATATGAATACAATATTTAAATTGTAGCGATATTGCGTTTCCAATAAGAACGGCTGTCGGGGCCATTCAGTCGTAAAGGTATTGCCGAGCCCCGGGCTGGTGCTATAATTGATAGACTTCACACTCAAACGACTGCTCCTGACTGCTAGCTTAACTCGAAACATCGATTCCTACCTAATTATGGCCTAAAGTATAATTTTTTCAGTAATACAGATTCATTTGCAACAAAAATAATTGCAAATCCAGTTGTTCTTTCTGAAATGTTACCAATAAATGTGTAATGGATACGTAAGTGGAAAATCAATAAAGTCGAATACGTCTACCAACAAAGATTCCTAGAGAAGGAATAACTAACTATATCTTTTGAAAATTGGTCCAAATCTTTTGATCTTTACACCCCACTAAGTCACAATTGAATAAAAATATGTAGTAAATACACGCACATCACTTTTATTTCAAAATATCTGCAAAGAGGAAGGTCAATTTTTTCAGTAGGTATACTTTAATCCCTTTCCTTTCCCACCATTTTCTTTTGAGGAAAGGACGGGAAAGTAACGTAGATTTGACGGTGGAGGAGTCGCATAGAAAGGGGAAATATGTGTCTTTCGTCTTTATGTGCATCTCCTTCTCGGTTGATTAAGGGTTGTCTACCCGTCTGCAATTGCTGATGTATATGGACAGCGATCGCTTCGCTTTCTCGGCGTATTCATGTGGTCACAAGCTCGTTTACCACCATATAATATAAAAAAGGTATATTTCCTGCGTTGGCACAAAAAATGAGCACTACAGTTGAAACTAGTAAAGCAGTTTCCTGATTAATTAGGCAAGTCGAGTTCTCAAATCACGAAGGCGGAAAGTTTTCCACTTACCGATTTACCGTTCCCCGCACTCTCAGCCGGAAAATAGAGCACTTAGAATGCACTATATATGTAAAAACTACGCTCCTTTCTACCATTTTACAGGTTAGAAAATATGTTAAGTGTCTGACGATTAAAACTCTGTAATATTAAAATTTTGAACAGCAAAGTAATTCTTGTATAGGCTTTGCCAGAATTATTTTTAACGAAACACAAATCTTTTCTTTTCCATACCAATATTATAAAGAGGAAAGATTTGTATTTTTGTATGTATTGAAATAACTCATAAACTACTGGGCCGATTTTAAAAATTCTTTTACCGTTAGTAATTTACCTATGAGTAACATAGGCTTTTTATTTTCACGCGGGTAAAGTCCCGATCAACAGCTAGTTATTTATGTGTTAAGCAATTAATTTAGATTAAGAATTTAAGTACTTGTAAGTTATCTATAGTCCTAACATTAATAATAATTAAGTGATGTATTTAAAACTTATTTTTTCAGGGATTCGTTTCTAATCTAATACGTAAAAGGTGCTTATGTTATTGTTTTCAGTTATTTTACAGAATTTTCATTAACAAAGATTAATCTGGCCAATGTTTTGTTAACTGGAGGTCGAATCGATCTGGCCTTGCAGCGGCCTTTCTCTTTGCCCGGTCTAGCGCACCGTATTGATGTATACGGGTAACTAACGTGTTTATGACATTTTCATTAACCTGCCATTTAATTTCCCAATTGTACGTAACGATTTTCTTTAATTAATATTGTTAGTATTCATACATTTCACAAGTAAAATTGACGATCATGAAATTGGAAAAAATATATTGTCATATAATAGCTTGAATTCTTAAATTAAGGACGATCAAAGAATTCTCCTAAAAATACTTGATAGAGATGATTGTGACCAATCAAAAAAGACATTTACCCAAACCCGGAGACTTCTGTTGAAAGATTACGAAGTAATTTATCAAATCGACATAGTGAAACATATAAAAAGGGAGCGAATGCATCCCCGCGTTCTAAGATAAATTACGTACCTAAAGCCGTGGTTAGGCAATTTATCTGGAAGACATGAATAAGTGTTATTTTTAACCGAGCCTTTGAAATTGAACTATGTATTACAACATACAAAATGAGATAAGACTAAAAATGATGTTATAAAGTTAAAATAATGTTGTGAATTTTATTCCACGCGCATCAAACCCTTATTTGTAAATCTATGGGATCTAATTTGTGAAAGGGCAAGTCAGCAATCCCTCAGGGGAATGCCGCTCATTTCCAACCCCACAACGTGCTGATCATCGTACAAATGAAAGTCTTAAACGCTTTGAGGACTCCCTAGTGTTTTCGTGATCACTCACTAGAAACAAGAAAGCAACGTTCACGGTGTTTTCATCAGCAAAGTTTAGTATTCAAAGTTGCAAACATTTCCAAACGTAGTAAAAATCAAATTTGGATGTTGTTAATTGGAAAACATCCGAATTCGATTTTCAAAAAGCTGATTTTGACGAGGAAATGCCCAAATAGATTCGCAAAAATCCACAGTCCAAACTAAAATCGTCACAATTTTAATACCTTTTTCCACCATAAAATATTCTTAGGTAGCTTTTTCTACTTTATAAAATCTCAGGTTTTCGTTGAATAGTACCAGGGCGGCATAGGTTCTAGGAGCGCGCTTCGACGGGGGATCTTTTCTGGGAGTTGAGAGATCCGTCATGTCATCAGTGCGCCAGCCGCCGCGGCCGCCGCACGGCTGTCTGCTCCCCGAATATCACTCACGTCGTTAATCACATTTTACGGATGTTATAAAAACTTTATTGTGTAAATCTTTTTTCTTGCTGCCTCATCGAGAAATTTTTCTGATATTTATTTCTTAGATGTAATAAAAGTTTGTGTAGAGAATTACTTTGTATTTTATGTATAAAATAATTATGATTACAAGTACAAATGTGGTTGTAACTGTGAAGAGTTAAGATGTTGATTGAATATTCTCAAATTTGCTCTAATTCCGAAAGTTATGTTGCTTAATTTAAATAAAAGTTGCGTGAAGTGATTGAAATGTTGAGATCAGTTATGTTACGGCGTTGCATTTGGATGATTTTATCATTTTATTTGAAAGGTAAGTGAAATACATTGATTTGTTTAATTATTTAATTAAGTTTCTTAATTCTAAACAACTTATTTAAATTGAATAAAATCAGGAAGTAACATTTGGACAAAAAAAAATAACACTACTTTTAACTATGAGAGCCTGAATTAGGTGTTTCTTTTATTACATCTCTAGCCGTGTAGATAAAAATTTTCATGAACCACATATAACAAAATGCCTTTATTATGAGTATGCAGAGATGTCGGGACTTCGTATTATTTCTCTATTAGTTTCTTACTGAAAATATTCGCCAACATGATTTCTGGCACAATCATATACGAGGAAATTATTTGTTAACAAATTTTCTAACTAATTTATGGAACAGTTTATGTTTATAACGTATAAAATTTGTTCAGATATTTGATATTCTTTGGATAGACAGAATTGAAACATTTAAATACATATTCATACTTAGACTCTACTCTTCGGCATTATGTTGCCCACCACAATACGGCTTGTGAGAGCTTAGCCTATATAAAGTTTTAATACTTTATTTATGAGGTGTTAATTGTTAGAGTAGTCAAATAAACACGTGTTGCCAAGCCGTATTATCAGGGCCGCCTTAGTCTAGTATGAATACTAACGTATGGAATATTAATGGATTTGAAAATCATAACTAAGTAAACGGATCTCGATTTTGGTATTTCTAAATCGATTAGAACAAGAGAAAATAAACTGGCGATATCACAAAGCTACGATTTATTTGATTTTCATCAAGTGTCTGATAATAGTGATTCAGTAGACTGAATATCTATTTGGCTTCATTCTCAAGTTTATTAAGTTTTAAGACCACTTTTAACTGACTCAAACTATTGCTTCCTCATTTCGGAAGTTTAATGTTTACAATTTCGTTTTATGTGGATTTAAAATTGAGTATAGTTTTAAAGTCTGACCTCAATATAAAACCATGCAAAATGAAGCTTTATCAAGATAAATCCGAAGTGATTACTTAATACTGATATCTGTATACAAAGTTGTACAAGAGATGTTTTGGTTGTAGATCAAATCTACCGTATTTCGAAGTGAATATATCGGTTCCGACGTAAACGTCCTGCATAGAATGTTATCCTGTATAAACGTATATCATACACGTATCTTGTACATGCACGTTGAATGGACAATGAACTACATGGAGACCCAAACGACAATGCTAGTACCAAGAGATATATTTCCATAGAGAAGATGATATTTTCTTTGTACATAGAGTTTATTCGAATTCATAAATAAGTCGCAATGAGAAGAAGAAATCAATTTGAATTTAAGTCATAGAGAACACGAGCGCCGCCAAGCTACTTTCGAGTGAATTTAGATTATTCTGAAAATATCGTTGCGAGAACATTGTTTGAACGATATGGGCTTGGTAGATCGATGATGTCCTGACAGAAGTAATGTGAATGTATGCCTGGCATCCGACTTTACCCATGACCGCCCACATGTGGTCTCGAGTAGTAGTAATTCTGATATCGTGTTAGCACAAGCCGACAAATATAATTGTAAGTGATAATGGTTACATATGAGACGAAATAAATGATATTGATGCCATTCCTTGCCGCATTAAACATAATTAAGAATTTACATTTTTATCTCATTATTTAACCTTTGGTAAACTCATTGTCTTCAACATTTTCTACGTAATAAGGGATCGGTGTAGCGGAGAGAAAATTGTCATCGAAATTAGAACAAGCCTTTCATGCCACCGCCAATGGAGAGTATAAGAATTCCATCATGAAATACCACAGAAAGCTTTCGTAGACTAAACGCTTATGTTCAGTGTTACCGAGAACAAAAAATATGGAATATCTAAAGCAAATACTTCGCTTTATAATCATTAAATAAAACGATATAGTGAATAAGAGAAAATAATTAATTGACCATACCTTTGGATCCTTTTGCTGTGGTTAATTATCTTTCGCCTTTGAAAATCTTGTATTGTATAATACTGATGTCGAAAACAGAGATCCAGGTCTGACCCTTTTACATTAATATCTAATTAGCTGTACGTTTGCGTTACCTTGAAGTTTCGAATTGTAACAAAGATTCCGGTCCTACAATCTCCTCCAGGATTTTATGAAGTATTTATTTGCATAATAATGTTATACTCGCACTGTTATGAATATTTGTAGGAATATGAAATATTAAGTAAAAAGAAAATTCTTTATTATTTGGTAACGAACCAATAGATAGACATTAATAGTCGATTTTTTCCGTATGATGATCTTGACGGTTAGATGAGAAAAATTTGCATTTTCTATACAATGTCTCCAAAAATGCTCTTCAATATTACACCGTTTCTCTATTCTGGGTATCTTTATTTACTTTGTCATATTTAAATTACTTTCTATTTGCAGGTACATGTGGGTGTGACGAAGAGTACAAATTGATTCGACATCTGATGCAGAAATACGACGCATCAGTGCGGCCAGTGGAAAACTCTTCACAGCCCTTGCTGGTGACATTTGGTGTGTCGCTGCACCACATTATAGATGTGGTATGTTTTACTTCGTGTATAATATAATAGGAATCTTAAAAGTAACCGAAAAACAGTATATATTGACATTCTTTTATTTAGTTTAGTTATTTACTGTCATACGAAACATCCTCAGTTACATTCTTCGGTCTTAGTCTAGCTGTAAATCTACTGTGCTTTCATTTCTTTCAAGAGTACCTTTTATTTTCAAGGATATCCTCATACTTTTACGCTTCAGACAAATCAAAGTGAGTGATTTTGATGGTCAATATTTAGAGACAGCAAACAGCTAGGAACTTGTTTGTTGTAGCAATAACATAGGGGTGTGACAAGCGTATCCGGCAATATTCTAACCAAATATCAACATCACCTGCGCGGTATTTCATGTCGGATAGCGGACGATCCGTCCAACCTTTGGTTGAACTTAGGTCAAATGTCAGTCTAAACCTCACAAGCCGGTGGAGAGAATTTCTCATACAGAACAGACGATTTACTGTTGTATTAATTTGTCAACGTTTTTTGAAGGATTGATCATTAATAGTTACAATGAAATAGCGAATCTTATCTTCCTATCTTAGTAATATTATAAATGCGAAAGTTTGGATGGATGTATGGATGTTTGTTAGAGTTTGTAGCCTAAATGACTGAACGGATCTCGATGACATTTGTATAGATGTAGAGGATAGCCTGGAAGAACACATAGGCTACTCACTTTTGTTTTTTTTTTAATTTCACGCGGACGGAGTCGCGGACTTAAGCTAATATAACATATTGTTATGTAACATGCTTGTCATTTTCAAATCAAAGGTTACGGACGATAAAAGTGATCTTTTTTAGTAAACATTTTCGATAATAAGATATAAATTGATTTGGAAAACCCTCAGGAATACGCAATTGCATAGTTGATTTATTACGGTGTCTCGTTGCAGCCAATTTATTGGATGAAAATAACAAGCTCGATTTTCCTCATACGTTAGACCTTGCGATAGTTTATTATGAAATTTTTATTTAGCTAAAAAATAGGCAAAATGTACATATTAACCATAGACATAATTCTGTAACACTTTATTTGGTTTATTCCCTGATATATATTGCTTTTCCGAACTGATTCTTTCACAACTTGTCACAAAGAATTTTGTAATAACGAATTTCTATATAATACTTTCATCCATTACATTAAAAAAAAACCTGAGACGTTTACACACAATTTATACAATTGTATGCATCCAATGTATCTGCGTCGATATTAATAACTATACTTTCTTAGTAATCGATGATAATTCCTTTTTATATTGGTCAATACGAATCCACAAATCTCAACATAATGATTTCAGCCTCGGCAACCTTCACGAAATACAATAGATTACTCGATTTATGATTGGATGCGTTCATGCGAGATGTGATCATCCGGTCCTTTTTATTATTCTTCTAATTCTACTATTATTTCCAATTAGGGATTTATATATGTTTCTGTTATATGATTTTTGTTACTTGTTACTTACATAAGTTGTTTTATCTTTAACTCATATTGAAATCTACTTTAGAAGTCATTGTTGAAGATGTTAAAGCTGCAAAGAGATGGCGATACGTTTTCGTATAAATTACGTTAATCGAAGTCCACAGTCATGATTATGTCACACAAATGTTATTATGTCCAGAGTGAACTTGTAACGAGATAAAGGATGTCCAAATCTCCGGCGTCGGATTAGTTTTGGGATAACGAGGGCCTAATTTATTATCAAGTTATAAAACAGTTTCAGATAATTTTTTTATTAAAATGTTTTAAATATAAAGGTTTAGATGAATGGATGTATGTTTGTTAGAGTTGGTAGCGTAAACGGCTGAACGGAAATACATATAAAGCATAATCTGGAAGAAATGGACTCTTTACTTCTTTTTAGTACTACAGGGACGGAATCGGGCGAAAGCTTGCATTATTATAATATAAGAAATAACACATTACAAAGACTTTTATACTAGTTATGTTTTAACAGATATTTTTATAAATTCTGTTTTCGGTTTAGCTTCGCCATTCATGATTTTAACAAAGGTCATTGTCCAACGATGATTGATGGCGGTTATTTTCCACGCTGACGGAGATGACAAATTTCTTTCACCTTTACTCTTGTGCAGGAAGAAAAAGATCAACTTCTCACCACTAATTGCTGGATCACTCAGATCTGGACGGATTATCATCTGAGATGGAACACCAGCGATTTCGATGGTATCAGTGTTATTAGAATACCTTACGAAAGAGTATGGAGGCCTGATATTATTTTATATAATAAGTAAGTATTGAAGCAACTTTCTGTTTATTAATTGGTTCCTAATATATATTTGATTTGGTCTCTTGTGAGAAGAAATTGGAGAGTACTCACATTTATCGAATTAACACAAGGACAGAGAATAAAGCACTTAATTAAGTGTGACTTTACAAATTTCTAGAGAAAAAGTTTATTGTTTTTAAAATTCCAAAGTAATCAATCATGCAAAAAATCGTTAAATTCGATACCATATTGAAATTATTCGAAAACATCGCAGATAACGTAATTGAATACACGGTGTCGGAATACCATTATTATTAATGAAGCACTTATCTTCCGCCGTGTTAAATATAATGGTATAAAGTAAGGAAAATTTAATCGAAAATCAGTTTACGAAAGTACCTGTTAACATTGTAGAAATAATTCCTATTAGGTGAACAGATTTCTAATATTTTAAACAAGAATAAACAATTACTAAATGTAAAAAAAGGTGTGTTTGGCCAAAAACCATTTAGAAAAGGATATTGTTTTCCTTTATATTTATTTAGCTGCTGGGAAATGTATATTTTGTTAACAGTGCTGACCCCAATTATAAATCGGCGGTCATCAACACTAATGTCATAGTGAAGCATACAGGCGAGGTGACATGGCTAAGTCACGGCATTTACGTCTCGGTTTGTGACATCAATGTTGAGCAGTTCCCATTCGATATCCAGCTGTGCACTATGAAATGGGCTTCGTGGACATATGACGGTTTTCAGGTAACTATTAGAAGACTTATGCCCGTTTTCCCAGCTACATTTTACCATTCGTTAGTTTTTTGGTTAGATAGCTACATGAAATGCGTTTCCGAACTACGTAATTTGAGTTTTACATCGTTGAAATTTAGGTCAACCTAACACTGAATCACTAGGTAACGATAAAATAAATGGGCACTCATGTAAAAAAATAATTGCTTCATGTGTTACGTTGGATTCCTATTATATATAAATAAAACTTCAGAAACCTAGCATAAATGCGATAGTAAGGGTTTATTTGTCGTCGTAGAAGCTATGATGATCCTATGGCAAATATAGATTACCGCTTAATATTACAAATTAAAATGGATATTAAAATATCTGACTATATTTGCAAACCGTACGGAACAAAAAGTGTTCCCCCGTCATTTGTTTCCAGCATGTTGCAACGGCTGTCACTGTCCAGATAATAAATCCGTTCAAAGCGTTCCCTTGCGTTGCCCGCGAATTTCTCTCGTTACTATGGAAATTAGTTTTCAAAATAACCCTTGTCAATTTTATTACGGTAACTAATTACGTACGTACGTAACTTTTCAACAGTCTTACATGATTTTGTAAGATATCTACCATAACGAAAAGCTATGGATTAAGTTAGATTTTGATTTTTTTAATATGACAGGAAGATACAGAACAGCTTTGCAGTAGTTATTAAAACGGTATTAAAACTTTTGAATCAAAGAAGCTTTATAAACTCGACTAGATATAAATTTTTAGCTTTTTAATATGATTTAAAAATGTTGCAAGTATAAAGCAATCGCAATTTCAAGAGTAAACACACAAGCAAATACAACTTACACGAATTTTAATGAGTTTTCCGTATGTTTTTAATGTGTAAATAAAAACGTTATTAAGATTTTAAATAGAAATCTGAACGTTTCTGTTGCGTTCTGATACGTTTTATAAAATTTTAACTTTATTTAAGACATGTTGTTTTAGTTGGACTTAATAAAACAATTTGACGAAGGCGATACAACGAACTATCAAACGAACGGTGAATTTGATTTGGTGAGCTTTGAAGCGATCAGACACGATCAGTACTATTCGTGCTGCGTCGAGCCTTACCCGGACATAACGTATGTAATCAAACTGCGAAGGAGACCAATGTTCTATGTATTCAATCTAATATTACCATGCCTTCTAATAAATGGAATCGGTAAGTAATTTCATCTTTCAATTGTTATATAAAATACCAAGAAATAGTGGTAAACGTTTTGTGACAGATATTAATTTAGTTTTCACTGCTTTTAAATGTGCGGAATTAAAATATATTTTTATATATTTTTTTACATCCCCGCGCTCGTTGACATTGGATTAATTGTGCGTTTTGGATGTTTGTTTAGTTGATTAACTCGTAAATTGTTTTAGCCCTTCTAGTATTTTATGTGCCATCCGAATCCGGAGAGAAAGTGACTTTAGGAATAAGCGCATTGCTTTCAATGACTGTATTCCTCATGACTATACGGGATACATTACCACCTACGGAAAAGACGCCATTAATAAGTAAGAATTCTCATTTTATTACACATTTCATTATCAAAAATTTTTAAAGAGTTAGTTGAAAAGTAAATAGCAATTTGTTTAAGTCAATAAGCTTTTTATCTGTTCAGCGACGTGATCGATGAGCATTTAGGCATTAGCTACGTCACAATCTGACTGGAACACTTTAGTGATGTGTTCCAATCCTTCGCTCTGATCGTGACAAATGGAAACTTGATGTATCTCACTCGATAGTAGGAACCACTTCGTAAATTATGTTATTGTTATGCACAGTCAAAAGATTATGTAAGAGTGAAAGACTGGACAATTTTACGTATGCATTATTCATTCGACTTAATTACGAGGATAATTATTTCGTCGAAAAGATTCTCCAAATACCGAAGCCTCGTTGAAAATGGTATTCAATTGTCGGTACGAATTTCATTCGGAAAATTGGGCAATGGTTTCCAATTAAACCTGAAATTATTGCATTGATTACATGAACACGTTAATTAGACAATAATGTTCACTTCTAAATTAGGAATGTTGTTCATGAATGTTAAAGTATAAAGCCACTATAATTGTGCTTAATAAAATCTGAGAAAATACACATAAATCTATCCTTTTAAACTTTATCGATTCACAAAAATTGTAATTTCTTAGACTTCGTAAAAGTTTATGTGTTAACGTTATTTCTTTTGTCTTTATGTTGGTCAAATACTTCCAGGTCTTTACTACGGCGTCAGTACGTGTTTGGTTTCATTCTCGGCATCGCTCTCAGTGGTAACTCTTAACATATCTTACAGGCGAGTCTATTTTTATACGTTTCAAATATATATTCGTTGCTTTAACCTGCTCTCCTTTTTATAAATAACCATTGTAATTGCTATATCCTTAGAAAATCTCTATAAACTGATACAAAATTCGAGTTGTAGTAAAGTTAAATAGGTGACAAAATGTCAAAAAACTGACATAGAAGGATACTTATTGGTCTTTTGAGTTATTACTATTCTTGCGAGTGATTTAGTTCTCAGCAATTTAGTAACGGCTAATGTTGAAAGGGGAGACAGTTGCGCGAAGGTGTGTTGTTGTTCGTAGAGGAGTGAGAGGGCAGCCGGTGCCGGCGGCGCTGCGCGAGCTGGTGCTGCAGCGCCTCGCGCGCCTGCTCTTCATCAACTTTGACACCGATACCAAGGTTAATCAGAATGCATAATGGAAACCAACAAATTTGATCAACAATAAACAACAAATTTGATAAGATATCTCTTTACTCCTACCAGTCACATTCGTAGCTTGAAGGGCTACCTGTTGACTGAACCTAACATTGTGCAAATGGATGTTTGCGTCAGTTTTTAATAATTCTTTTGAAAGTAATTGCTTGTGGTAACAGGGCGACAGTCCCCCTGCAGTGGCGTGCGTGCAAGTGAACCCGCGCACGGGCTCGCGGCTCAAGTCGGAGGCGCACTGCGAGCGCTGCGAGACCTGCCACGCCTGCCACGGCTGCCACGGCTGCCACGGTTGCGACGGTTCGCCCGCACCCCCGGGATCAGCCTCGCCGCGCTTTCCACGCCCAAACATAAACCATCTAAGTAACGTAAACGCACCTAATAACGACCCATCAAAATCCGTCCCTATGTCCCTTTTAATAAGATTTTTAACCACATACACATTTTTTTTTTAATTTACTGATTATGTATACACTTTTAAAATATGATTTTGTTCTGGCATGTTGTTACTATATGAAGAAGCAAATCATTACAATTGCAAAGGTCGTACGGGTCCGGTAGTAAACTCCCCGTCAAGCCCACCGCTGGGGGTCGAGATGTGCGGGGGCGCGGCAGGTGGCGCTGGTGCGTGCGCGCGATGCGTTTGCTGCTGCACGCTGCGCGACGCCGCCGCGCGCCACGAGCAGCGCGTCGCCGCCAACGAGCGCCTCGAGCGAGCCAACCTCGAGTGGAAACAGGTACTTCATTTCTTGAGTACACGTAATTAGTACTGTTAGATTTCATTTTTCTTAATTGTAAAAAAAAAGTTGCATGCGTTATTCAAAGTCTATTCAATTATTTTTAGACATAACACAAAAATTGGCTTACCAAAATATATCTTACATATCGGTATAGAGTAGCAATAAATATTTTACACAATTTTAAGAAAAACATAAAATGTTTTTAGATGGACTTTTTACGATTAATAAAAGTAACTTTAAGTGCAATTTTTGCCTGAATAAACTGGGGCGGTTGAAAGTTCTTATCTATCGAGTCATGGTAAAACTTTTCACTTATGCACTACATCTGGCATTCCAGTTTATCCGGATTAGTACCGCAATGAACTGAGGGATTTGACCTCTAAAACGACACAAGGATTAATCTCGTACCAGAATATGGCATCTCGGAAAAACATATTCGTATATGAATAAATTGTTTTCGTATAAACTTAGAAAAGAATCCGAAATGAGCACCTGGGTATTGCGAGTATTTTTTTCTGCGGCTTCTATTCGCGCGGCGACAGATAATAAAAATGTATAATAATTCAGCCCGAGATATTTTAATTACAAGTTTTGACAGGCACCACCCACCAGTCGAATGTTTTTTTTAACACGCCTATGTTGGTATTTCTGATGTACTATAATCACTGCTGAGACATCCTTAATATATAAAACGTGTTTTGTCTTTACAAAAGTGTTTCTGCAATAGTCACAATCTCTTGTAAACTACATTTCCCTCATAAAATATTAGATTCATAACGACGATCGATTGAATTTTTTAATTATTAACACTGTGATTTTATTAGGTCGCTGTAGTCGCCGACCGAGCATTACTCGCCGTGTTCGTGTTGGTGACAACCATAGCTACGGCGGCCATTTTGTTACCCCAGCTGCAGAATCTACATGTAGGCAATACGCCTCTCAAACCACCCACCTAGGTTATTTCATTATTGTAAAATAGAATTAAAACCAAAGAAAACATGTATTTTCTACCATTTCTTGATCTCAGTTATTATATGCTTTAAGATTTATTTATCGTTAGGGTAAAGTTTTGTTTCTATTTTTCCAACTATGTCTTTTTAAATGCACGTTTTTATTCCAGTTTTTGTTTAATTTCTAGGAAGTGCGTTTTTAATTACTTTTTGCAAACGCGCAATTTTTTTCATTTGCTTTTGACTTTTGACTGCTCGCTACAACTGGTCGTTGTTTGTAGATTGCTAAATCAAAATTCGTAAGAATTGGTTGTTGTACTCGTATACTTGTTACTCTTAGTTATAAGTAAAACATTATGTAAATATTATCAAAGGAACTGTTTTAAATTGTTTCATCTAATTTAAATTTATGATGATGTAATTCAAACGTCAATTCAACCGTAAAATGTTATTTCAGACCAGAAGTTTTTCATTTGAATACATAACGATTGAGAACAAAATCTGAATAAATTCTTGCCTTTTTTTTTAGTAAATGTCTAGAAATGTCTTTGAAATAAATGTACGTGAAATATTACAAATGAGGTAAATAATATAGAGTTTTTTTATTATTTCGATTAGTTACATATTTTATGTCAAGAGAACGAATTAAGTTAACAAAATTAGTTCGTCTATTTTACACGTTTCTGACGAAATAATGAACGTTGATGCAATTAAAGGTGTATTGTAATAAATAAACCAGTAAATATGTCTGTTAGATAAATACTTTGTAAGACAAATTTTGTCAATTAGAGTTAAATAATTAAGACATTTGGTAATTCCAGGTTTTTATTTTCAATACCAAAGGATATTTAAAGTATTCAGAATGGAGTTATTACATAAATGTGCGCTTATTCAGTTGTGTATATTTTTTTATTTACTTTTTTATTGGTTTAATGGTGTTGTTACAGTGAATGTTGTGTATTACATTTTACAGATATTTAAATCATTACAATGTTAATACAAACGTAGCTAAAGTCAGAGTTAAGTTATAAGTGGCATTTAAGTAATTGCTTAGAATTTTCATGCTCAATACTGTGGCCAAATTTAAGTACATATGTGTGTATGAAGATGTTAAATGTACTCATTGGATGAAGTAATTATCATCTACAAAAAATAAAAGATTAAAAAAAAACAAATACTAGTTTTATTTATGTCACATATATTGAAACTAAAATAGTCTAAAACTACGGGATTGGAAACCAAATAACAGCTACTCCGCATAAAACACAAAAAGTAAAACTAATCAATAATAATAATCTAATCAAAAACAATAATAATAATAGAATAATTGATGTACATACAAAAAAAATCCATTTGAATTGCGATTTTTTTGAAGTCATTTAAAATTATTCAAATCTTAACACGAGAATACTTACTAAACAGTTTTTATTCTGACACAGAACTGCTTAAGAAATGTGCATAGAACATTTAAAAAATGATTGTACACTTCACACTGTGGAGTTCAGAGTATGTGCAGAACTGTAACAACTCAGTCGCGGCGCTGCCAAAGGCACTTCAAATAATTTCACTCCTTCTGTGAATTGTGTTCTAACTTTAAAGGCAGCACAAAAATGCCGTTTCCACAAGTATAAGTGAATAAAGTTGAACCGCTACATGGAATTAACTGTGGTAACATTTTATACTTCGTTTGTGCTTTCTGAGCGCGAAAAAAGGTAAAGGCTAAGCTTTTGAAATATGCATTCAACGACGCTGTTTGACAAAAGGTTAAGTCCTATACTTCTAGATTTCTTGCTAGAAGTCATTGGGAAAACGGAAGCAAACGAGCAATCCGTTTTTAAATTGTCAGACGATGGCTTTTGCACACAGGTGCACTTTTGGTAACGGGAGAGGGGAATCATGCCCCATCTTCAAGGGGAAAATCGATGGCTACCTAAGAGTACGACTAGAAAAAGGTCCCGGCAGTTACAAAAGGAAAACGATGTCTGAAAAAGTGAATTCTGATCTAATAATTGAAGACTTAATTAGTGATAAAAGACAGATTTTGTAAGGAATCGTAACTCACTGGAGATAATAAAATGATAAACAAAACGAAGAGTGAATATTTATTTAATTACATTATTGATGTCTGGTTTGGATAAGAACTTATATAGGAGGATCGTCAAATATTTTGTAAAACTTTCATTATTTTCTCATTACAGAACATTTAAGGTTATTTAAACGCTTTACGACTTTCATGGCGCTATCTTGCTGCAAACATTTACAACAAATTTATAGTAGTTACATCCGATGACAAAGTTGTAACGACACAAAAATTTCATCATTATATTCCCTTTAAAATAAGGTAATAGGGAGGAAAATGCTAATTTATCGTTTATGGGATATAAATTGTACTTTTTGTTTTTATATCAAATCAATACCGAAAACACAATAATTTAAATTCCGGTAAATTAAAGTAGTAATCACTATTAATCAGTTCTCATCAGTTATTTCGAATATAGGGAATACAAACATGAAATGCAGAGCTCGCCAATATTGGTGGTGAATGTACACACTCGTATCCGTTTGCCGGTTTCCGGTTAACTACAAAGAGAATTCCACGTTCATATTTAGTTGATGTACATCGACCGCAATGTGACAATAACATTGTTCGTGATTTTTTTTTTATTTTTAACTTCAAGGCGATAAAAATCATACGTAGGTTAGTCGCAAAGACATGAATTTGTTTACTAAGAATATTTTCTAATGTAAAAAATCAATTTAAGTTCGAGGCAAAGAAAATAATACTCACTGAAACAGTTAAAAGTTAACGGTTTTTCATAATGTAAATGAAATATTATCCAAAGATTTATTAATATAAGTATTTAAAATGAGATGAATACCGCCATTTCATTTTAAGGTAATGAAAATTAAACAAGAGACGCCTCCAGTTTTGCCGTCGTTCACAAACCTAAAGAGAAAATAACTGTTCGTACATTTTATCTGTTTTATTTTGCATAAGCTGTTATTATAAATATTTTACATTCGCTTTTTAATTCTGGTATAGTTCCATTTCTATATTTCAATATCTTTAATGGATTCTTTTCATGGTGAAATATTTAAATACCTTGTTTTGCAATTACATACAAATGTGTCAATAACATTTAGTTTAGGAAACTAAAGTTAAATTATTTTCCAATGGTTGAAATACCTTGAAAGCAATGTTTTTATTTTGTTACCTATTTAATCTAACTCTAACCTCTAAAGTTGGCCTTTGAAGTATAATATGTTCTTAACGTTGATTACGAAAATAAATAAATAATAAATATTTTGCCTCCTTACCTAACATTACAACAATTTCGATATTAAATAAAATGTTTAACAAATTGTTCAAGGAGTTTTTACTTGTTTTTACGTCTCACGCCATTAGAAAAAAGGAAGAATTTAAATTACATTTGAAATTAGAACACATTGTCAATGTCATCGTATTTTCTATGTCTTTTTCTCTACGTATTTTACCAATACACATGTCTCCGTTAAAAATAATTTTATTTCTAAATCTTTACGATATACACAAATTGTTTTAGACATAAAATATAAATCTACTCAGTAAGAGTACAACACGTCTCTCGATCACCAGTGATAGCAATCGCAAATCCCGACTATACATCTTGTTTGGACATTGAATTGAAATGAAGTTGTAAATAATGTTCCACTTTGATAGATTATAAATTTCAACATTTTTAATATTTAGTTTTGAATTCAATAAAAATCCAGCTACAATATATCAAAAGTATCTGACATAAAGATAGGAGAATATTTGCAACTAAAGCAGTTATTTCACAACCCTGCCGCAAATGTTCTCGTACAGTTAAATAAAACTGCAGTTTATTTTTCAAGTGCTTGTTAAATTGAATATAGCGCTTAAAGTTCGCGATGTTGTTTATTTGCTTCAAACGTCGAGAGCATTGTTTGTTTTTAATGAGCCTTTTTACCTTTCAGGTTTTCCAAAGTTAAAATTTACAGTTATGAAAGTTATTTAAGGTAGGTCATATTGAAAATAGATCTGAACATCTGAAGGTCGATTGTTTTTCAATTCTAGTTTCAGTTAATGGGTTTTAAGAAAATTTATCTTACTTATATTATAAATGAGAAAGTTTAGATGGATGGATGGATGTTTGTTAGAGTTTGTAGGTTAAACGGCTGATCGGATCTTGATGAAATTTCGCATAGATGTAGAGGATAGTCTGGAAGAACACATTGGCTACTCACTTTTGTATTTTCTTTAAATTCCACGCGGACGGAGTCGCGGGCGAAAACTAGTATTTTCATAATTTTGTAATTTTTGGAAACCTGTATTTACATGAAACTTTTGGCCTTGAGTATTATTCAGAATTTACTTTGTATGTAAGGAAATATCTTTTATATATTAATTAACTGCGGACACAACAATTACTTATCTAATAAATAAGCATAGAATATATCCATTAAAAATTTTAACATTTATTTGGTGTTATAATTCGTTTTAGCGTATACAAAACTACCCTCATAGAATTTATTGTCAAAGAAGCGTTATACAGTCGTTCATAAGTAGGAAATTAATACGAAAATGAATTCTGGTGATGTTAATTGTTTGAATGTGGACCACGCTGCGCAATTATTACCCGGAACTTTTGTTGAACAAAGAGCGCTTCATGCAGTATCACATAGACGTCATATTTTTGCATTTTCTTATTTCAATGAGGTTGATTATTTAAAACTACAGACCTTTTTGACTTCGTTTCAATGCGTAATTTTACAAAAGTTGACTGAGTTAAATAAACAACTTTTTATTATTTATTTTTTTTCTGATACTACATTTATCAGTGATCAAATGTTTCAGACATTTTCAAAACATTTCTTACACTTATATCTAATTCCAAAAGCAATATCCTTTTTTATTTCAATAGAAATCGAATAATAAATCGGAAATTGTGTGTAAAGAATCAAATATATCGTAACCCTTCACCATTTATTCTGTGCCTACGGTTTTATTTGTATAAAAAATACTACTCGGTTTTATGCTCAGTGAATCAAACTAACTTGATTCGTACTCAATCCTGAGTTTTTCTTTGATGATTTGTATATATTTTTTAGTACATGGTATGGAGTT